ACGAAAATGCATGGTATTTTTAGAAAAATACTCTACAATTTAATGATCGATGCATGAATTCTATCCACAATATTTATTAAAGATGCCAATATAGGTGATTTGACTGATGTTAAGTGCTTGTAAAAGAAACAAACGAAACTATAATCTCTTTTCAATAATAATTAAAATAATAATAATAACGAATGAAGCTAATATGATTATTATCATATTAGTTTGAAACTTTAAAGGAAATAGCAATGGATAAAATTATTTTGCTGTTTGTTTATCTATCTGACTTTGAGTTTCTCTTTTTGTGATGAAAGTTTTGCTATATTTTAGCCAGATAGTCATCGATACTTTATCAACAAACGATGGCGTTATGTATGGGAAGAAGCTGAATACAAATTTAAAAAGATTTTGTATGCTACAAAAATACTAAAATCTATTGATTTATTTGTTTGTGTGTGTTTTCTATAATAGGGGTATCGAGGAAAATGTTAAATGTGAATATTTCAGTCAGATTCGTCCCTTAACTGTTGAACAACGTGCACAAAAGTAATTTAACTACATCAAGCAATTATATTTTTCTTAATTTATTATTTTTTTTCAATTAGAAAAATCATTTATGGTGAAAATAGCATCAGTCTACGTCTTACACCCATCTTACATTTACTGATTCGAGAGGTAAAATTTTAAATTAATCCTTCCATTGTTTTATTTTAATCTTCCATAAAGGTTCTCTCACCATTTTATATTTTTCAATTATTTTCATGTCTCTCATGGTTTCTTGACGAATACGTTGCTTATGCATCATGCATTATGTTTATAACTGTAGTTTCAGTTATCGTCACATTACGTGAAGTTCGAAAAGTATTTGTTTCTCTTATCAAACAAATATGTCAAAAATTTATCATGTATTTTAATCCTAGAATGAACGGGCGCTACGTGATACAGTTCATCAATCCGAAGTAACAACTGTTGTAATCTATAATTCTGAGACAAATGAAGGTATATATTCAAAATCAGTTTTATTTTTTATTTTTTAATACGATCGATTTATTTATTTTTTAGAAGAACAGCGTGATATAATTAGTGAAGATCTTGTTCCAGGCGACATCATTATAATACGTGGTTCAACAACAATGCAATGTGATGCTGCTCTACTAAATGGAAATGTAATTGTAAATGAATCCATGTTAACAGGTGAAAGTATTCCTGTAACAAAAGTTCAAATACCTTATTATCAATCGTCATCGGATCATTCTGCACTTAATCAAACATTTGATATTCGTGAACATAATCGATTTATATTATTCAGTGGTACATCTGTGATTCAAACACGTTACTATGGTGCAGGTGATGTACGAGCTATGGTCTTGCGAACAGGTATATCTACTATTTTGTTTTTGCATATACCATGATGATTTTATTTTTCCAATTTTCTAGCTTTTGGTACAGCAAAAGGTGAACTTGTTCGATCAATTCTTTATCCAAAACCTGTTGATTTTAAATTTAACACGGATACATATCGATATGTAGGTGGTATGGCATTAATTGCTTTTGGTGGTATGATATTTTCAATGGTATTAAGAGTAAGTCATTTTTTAATTATTAGTTTCTGTTAACCAAAATAAAAATACATTCTTGAGATAATCGAAGATGTTGGTTTTATTTTAATTAGATAATACGTCGTGAACCTGTTAGTGTCATTATTAAACGTACTGTTGATATTATTACAATAGCAGTACCGCCTGCTCTTCCTGCTGCTCTATCTGCCGGTCTCGTTTATGCTCAAAATCGTTTAAAAAAAGATAATATTTTTTGTATTAGTCCTCGGTCTATTAACATATGTGGCTCAATTAATACTGTTGTGTTTGATAAAGTTTGTTTTCTATTTTAAAAACAAAATTTCTTCCTTATTTATAACTATTGATGTGTTATATTGTATCAGACCGGAACGTTAACTGAAGATGGACTTGATCTTCAATGTGTTGTACCAATTATTCGTACCTATAATACAACAAATGATCCTCGACAAGTTCAATTCGGCTCTGAAATAACTGAAGTAACAAATTTAAATTGGCGTGAGGATGAAGCTCAAAGTATGATAATTGTTTGTATGGCTGGTAAATACTAAAACATTTATTTTATAATAACTAATAAGAAATGTTTCTTACACTAAATCTAGCATGTCATACATTAACAAGAATAAATGGTGAACTGGCGGGTGACCCACTTGATCTTAAAATGCTTGCATTTACACAATATGAATTATATGAACCGGCGGCAAATGAACAATCTAATTTCGATACACTTTTTCCAACAATTGTACGACCAATTAATACACCAAAAGATGTAGCCTCACCATTAGGTCGATTTTCAGGTTCTGTTAGTTCACTTATTGCAGGAGTAAGTTTAAATAAAAAGTTTGATTTTTCATTTTGATTGATCTTACTTAAATAGAACATTCCATTTGAAATTGGTATTGTTCGTCAATTACCATTCAGTTCATCACTTCAACGAACAAGCGTTATTGTTCGAATTCTTACAAAAGATTCATTTGATTTACTAACAAAAGGTTCACCAGAAAAAATTGCTGAACTTTCAAGACCGGAAACAAGTGAGCTACTAAATATATAATCAAATATAACATGCATATTGAACAAATATATTTTATTAGTTCCAAAAAATTTCAATGATATACTTTCATCGTATGCTAAACAAGGTTATCGAGTATTAGCACTTGCCTATAAACCATTGGAATTAAATTATGTCAAAATTCAAAGAATTGAACGGTTAGTTACGCATGAATCATTCTACACAAATCACGACCGATTTTACTCTATCGCTAGATACCATACGCTTTTGTTTGCATTATTAAATAAAATTAATTTCTTAGAATTGACAAATATATATACATATATATATATATATATATATATATATATTATGAGTGTTCTAGAAGAAAAATTTCTTGAAAAGATACTTTTTTCTGTGATCGTCCTATAGAAACGAAAAAATCATTTAAAAACTCCTGATGTGTCACTTAGAAGATCGCTAACAAATCTAAAAGTATAACTTAATACCTAATCACAAGTACTCTATTGGAAATGATCTAATAGAAGCCTTTTTACTTGATTGAGCAGCTTTTCAATAATATTCGGTCGTGGCTTATGTGAAAATATTGCTATAATAATAATAATTAGACTAAACTCTTTCTGATTCATTGATTTAAATAAAATAGAGAAAAAGTTGAAAATGATCTTATCTTTCTTGGTCTTGTGGTTATGGAGAATCGTCTGAAGCCACAAACAGAAGGTACATTAACAAAGATGATTATTATCTTATTCTGCGGAAAACATTTCACTGACTAATTTAGGCGTTTTGAAAATACTTTCAAATGCTAATATTCGGACAATAATGTGCACTGGTACGTTTCCTGCACTCTTTCGAATATGAATTCTTATTTATAAAAATACATTTGATACAGGTGATAATATGTTAACTGCATTGAGTGTTGCTCGCGATTGTGATATGATTCCCGATGATGCTAAAATAATTGTTATTGAAGCAACTGAATCAAATAGAACACCAACATTTACCTATGCTCAAGTTTTTAATCGAAGAGTCAAAGAAGTCAGCTATGATCTTAATGTATGTATATTTTATTATTAATGTATTCGATAAATCTTACTAAAAGAAAATTTAAAATATGTATAAACCCCTACACAGAATAGAAGCCCACCCTCTGGGTTAGATTTCTCCGTTGAAAAGCAAGGTTTGCTTCATGAAAAATGAACTAAAACCGATGAAAAATGAAAGGATGAACATTTCTCTATCAAATAACGCAAAAGCTGGCATCAGGGCATGCTTTGTTACAAAAGTATAGCTTGTGGAACAGAGGCATCACCCATGAGCTTCTATTCTGTAGGAGGGTTTAACCATAAAATTAAAGTAACATCGTCTTCACGGTAAAGTATCTTGAATCTTAGAGTGCTCGTCTATTTTGATTGTTTTGAATCACACTAGTTTTCAAAAATAAAAAAGAATCAAAACTTGTCTTAAATTTTTTCTATAACAATTCTAATGATAAAAGCCAGCTCATATATTGTTGATCTTGATAGTTCAAAATTTTCTAGATAAAAGCTGTATAATAATAATAATAAATCTACAACTGGGTTGCTTTGATATATTTTCTACTTCTTTTTTTTCTTTTTTTGTAAGTCATTGAAAAACAAATGGTAGATAACTTAAGAGCACACAGATAAAGGCAATTTATTTAATCGCTAGGATGAAGAAAAGATAGTCTTTATATGACCGAAGAAATTAATACTATTTGATAAACCTTTCAGAGAGTATTTGTTTTGATTTAGTTGTTCTTTACTTTGATTTAAGAATATAAAACAACAACAAAAAGTCATGATGATAAACACGCTTTACAATTAAAAGCTATTAGCATAAAAAAAAGAAAAGAATTTCGTGGAAAAGACTTTCCATTACTTGGTTCCGATGCGAAAAGAACATATTGAAAAGAAAAGAGAAACAAAAGCAATGTTTAATTTTTCATATGAAATTTACAAAATTTATTTTGAATATTTTTTGTCACTCAGTTTAAAAATGATTTGAAGATTTCAAAAAAGTTACTATTAAAATTAAATATTTTAAGAGAACAAACAATTCTAATTAAGTTTCCCCCCATAACAATTTCTAGTCTCATCGATTAATTGAACTTGATCGTCGTTCACCATATCATTTTGCCATATCCGGTAAATCATTCCAAATTGTTCGTGATGAACATCCTGAATTATTACATCGAGTAAATTATGATTTTTTCTTTTTCAAAAATAAATACTTTTCTATTGTTAAAAATGTTATTATATAGTTATGTGTACGTGGCACAGTTTTCGCAAGAATGTTACCCGAACAAAAACAACAATTAATTGAAACATTGGAAGAACTTGGGTAAGTCATGAAAACTAGAGAAAAACAAGTTCGATCTTCTCTTTTCTTCTTTTATTAAACTATCGAAATGTATCTGAAATACATCGATTAATATATATGGTTGCATCACTTCCACCAAAAGATGTTTGATGATGTAATGATATTGGTGTTGATGTCCTTGAATATTCATGATTAGGACTTCGTCTATGTGATAATTGTCTATGAATAGATGGATGAGCAATAGTATTTTGTTTATATGGCAATTTAGTTGAAAATTGTCTTTGAAATAATGAATCACGTGGTCGACAGAAAAGAATATTTGTAAATGCCCGTCGGAAAACATCACTAAATATTGTATAAATAAATGGATTTGCCATGGATGAACTATAACCCAGCCATGTTATTGAAAACCACATAGTTGATGTTATACGTTCACTACATTCTTCACATACAGCTGATATAAATGTACAAATAAAAAATGGTGTCCATAAAGTAACAAACACACAAAATATAATAAGCAAAACTCTTAAAGCTTTGCGTTCATTGGCAGCAACTATATGCTCATCGCGTATACGTTGTGAATAATTTCGATGTTGTTGTTGTTGATTTGATATTGCTGAAAAATATTTTGAATTTAATCGATGAAAAACTGACAATGAATCGGATGAATTCGTATTTGTTGTTGAACTAAACGGTTGTTGTTGTCGTCGTAAACCATGAGAATTTGAATATGTAAGAAAGTAAGCTGAACGATATTGAAACGGTTGTCCACGTTTTAATGGTCTATGACAACGCAGCGATCCATGATTTGCTCGTTGATTTGGTGTACGCACTTGAGCAGACGATGATGACGCTGCACGAGGACGATGATCGTTCTCTAAAATAGGATACGTTTCACATTCAATTGGACGAAAAGCACTAGAAGAATGTTGCTGATGATGATATAGATCCTGTTGATGTGTTGGATCTAATGGCGATGATGTTCTAAGCGAATGTTGATCTAATGATGCTGATGATTTTTCATGTGAATCTGGTAATGTGGTTGGTGTTTGACGTAAAAATCTTGTGAAGAAAGATGATGAAGATGATATTGGTCGATTAAATGAAAATTTAGGTTGCTTAATGGAATTATATGGATGCGTATCGTTAGTATTAGTTTCGTGCGTACTAGTTATATCGAATGGTGGAAAAGAATTTGTTTGTGTTGAAACTGCTTGAGAGGTTTTTGTTACATTTGAATTTATTGATGATGTTGATGTTGATTGATGTAATTGAAATGATTTTTCATAGAGTTCTTTCTTATTTATTTCATACTCAATGGCTAATGGACGTAATCGATAAGGATAGATAAATATATAATATTGAAGAACATATTGAATCATAGAAAAACAATATTGCCATGGAATCGTGAAGGATATTGTTTGAATAGGAATAAATAAAGTAGAAGGAGTACATGATGTTGAAGAAACTTTTGCTTGGGAATTGATTTCAGTTGTTTCAGCTAAAATTAATACAGAAACATTGTTTTATTATCTTATGTTTAATTCGATATACAGGGTATTTAATTCAGAATAGAATAGAATTTCACCGAAAAAGTATATGAAAATGTCATGATAGATGATACTTTGAAATCTCTTCTTAATTGAAAATATCTTCAAAGGATTCCAAAGAAAAGAAAAATTATTAGATCAAAGTACAGTGATTTTCTTCGATAAAAGCTCTTTTTAGTTTTGTTGCAAGCTTTAATCAAGAGTTGTGGAAAACATTGCGCCCTGTATAGTACAACATATTTCATTGTTAAGATTTACAAATAAAATAGCGATATCACTTAAATAAATAATTTAACATTGGTTTGTTTTTACAATGAATGATTGATGCTAATAATTATTTTTCTCCATAAATTATTTGGTATATAAATATATATCTATATATGTGTGCCTAATTATTTATGTCATTTTTTTGCTTTATTCAAATCTTTAATGCTTTATCATTTATTTTCAATAGATCTTTTAAGATGGATATCTGTTGAAGAGCTACGTCTTATTTTGGGTTTGATTTTATGATATTCTATTAGATAGAAAAATGAACTATGCATACTTTATATGTAATACTTACTTCCATTTTCCATATCTGTCGTTGAATAGATATCTACTTCACGTGGTGACATCGCGTGGATAGTTGGTGTTGTTGTTACTATATTTGACATTTGTTGTTCTTTTTGATTATCTACAATGTTTAATACTTGTTGTTGCTTTTGTTCGTTACTAAGTGTCGATTGTTGATGCGTACTAATATCAATAGTTGATGTAACATCATACGAATTAGGTGTTGGTTTTGAATATTCAGTTATTTCAAACACAGTACTCATGTCAGGATCATATTTTATACGATTTATACCTGTAGTCACTATCACTGATTTTTGATCTTGTTGTTGTTTTTGTTGCTCTTGTTGTTGTTGATACTCATATCTTTTTTTATTTGTATTTCTCTTAGTATAATCAATAGTTAAGTGTTGATTGATACGATGAATAAATTCATTATTTATATTTGTTCTATTTGTCATGCTCACTGTACCATATTGAATATTGTTAGAAACTAATTTCCTACTTATATCGGAACTATTTAAAAAAAAACTTTGTGTCCGTAAATCTTTTGACGATCCAGTTGATATTAGTGAGCAATATGTGCTATTTAAATGAGAATTGTTACTGTGATTATTATTATTATTATTATTATTATTATTATTATTATTATTATTATTATCATTGTTTGTTGTTGTTGTTGTTGTTGTTGTTGTTTGAATATCTGTTGCTGATCTATGTCGAATATTGCGAGCTATCTCAGCATATTGATTAATAATTTGTAGAAACGGTTGAAATGTTTGTTTTCGTCGTTTTTCACGGTTAAATTTTCTTTTATTTACTAAAACATTTCGTAATGAACGCATTGTTAACGCATATGTTGTTATCATAATTATAAATGGAATATAAAAAGCAAAAACAGAACCATATAACTTGAATGATTCATTATTGGGTGCACATACACCATTGGATAAAACATTTTGTTTATCAACAATACCTAAAACGAATACTGGAGATGATATTGCTGCACTAATGGTCCAAACAGCAATTATTTTAAGTAGCATAATACGACGAGTTTTATTTCTGCCATAACGAAATGGGAAACGGATTGTGAAATAGCGATCCATGGACATGGTACTCATGTGCCATATTGATGATGTGCAACATAATACATCCATTGTAGCGAATATTATACAAGCATAGTGTGGTAATGGAAAATGGCCTGAAGAGAACATAAATAGCATATGGAAAAATTATGTTAATGTTTCGAATATTTATTTAAAAATTTACCTAAAACTTCTGCAACCATCCCCATGGGCATGACAAGTAGAGCAACAAGACAATCTGCAATAGCTAGTGACATAAGAAAATAATTAGTTGTATTTTGTAACTTTCGTTCTCGTGCTATAGCCAAGCAAACTAAAATATTGCCAGCGACAGTCACAAAAATAACTAGAATAGAAAAAGTAAACGAAGTCTCCTTAATGATGATGATGATATGTTTTCATTCAGTGCTCCCATGCTTAAATACATGTATTTGCGTATTTTTACAAAATCTGTCCGAGATACAATCACATCACTATGTCGTCTAATAACCCAATTAAGCAAGAATCTAAACATCGTTTTCTGAAAGAACCTTCTTCTTTGTTTGCTGTAATTTCTCGCTTGCCATTGATTAAAAAGAAAACAGAATATCAATAATCCATACATACTAATGACTAGTAGGAAACGGTACCACATTATTCAAAAAATTGGTTGATAAACATCAATATCTATTGGTGTTGAGTTTCGTTCGTTGATTGCCCAAATAAAAGTTGCTCCAGAATTAGTAGTTCCCTTAATGCAATGAAATAAAACTCAAAATATAATCAAATACCTCTTTGAATAATTAAAATTAGAGATCAATTGAAATATTTCGATAAATAGTTTCCGTTCACTTATCAAAGACAAGAGAGGATACAAGTATTTCTATAACTTTCAAGTAAACTTAAGATGATAACTAAAAAATTCATGGCACATATTCGGTCGAAAATTGATTGAAGACGGCGTCTACACCCTCTCATATTCTCTCTTTCTTGTCTTATTTTTCTTCTTCATTTTGACGACTGATAATAACAGAGAGGAGGAACTTCTCGTCTCTTATCGCTGTATTTTCTCCTTGGTCGCCTTTCGCTTGCTCTGTTCGTTCGCTTGATAGCCGAGAATTACGTCTATATTGCATTTTGTATATTCTCATCCTATTATTACTAATACAATGTAAAAGAAAATTTTCTCGATTTATGTTTTTTTCTATCATATAAAGATATAATAAACAAATTCAATTTTCATTGTTTTCTCCTAAATATATTGTTTCAATAACCATGCACTGCTTGAGAAGTACTTTATAGTAGATCACACATAATTAGTTTACAAAGACGAAAACAATAGTTTATTTACTTTTTAAACAGATTGCTGATCTTATAATATTCTTCACTTGTGTTATGTAGCTAGATCTCTTGAGATTTCGATATTTACTGCACGACATATAATTATGTTAACTAAAATATGATTTAAAGAAAAAAAGTCAATTTATCTGATTTTTATTTTCAAAAAAAATTCTACTATGAATTTGTTGCATATTCACCATTCAGATGCTAAAAAATATTTTTATTCATTACTTAAATCGAAGTGGTTTTTCCTGTATTTATATCAAAGAGATGGTTAAAACGCAGTAGTTCTTAGATCACTCATCATAATTAGAATAAAAAATGTCCTTGAAGCGAGAAATTATAGAGTTAGCTTCAATAGTTTCTTTATAGATCTTTATTTGAGTTGTATAAAAAAAGATCATAACACTGTGGGATAAAATCTACTACCAGTCTTTGATCATCGGAGTTTGTTGTAATATATAAGAAGATCTTTTGTTTGTTCTCATATGATTCTTTCAGTAGCTTTTACTATTCATGTCTTATTATGTTTTCAGAGTTGTGTTCTTTTATCTCAATATATTCATACGCTGATTGATGTGATATTGTTTTTTTCGTATCTTTTTTAAAGATTATTTCATGTAGAAAGCTACTCAACAATATGATACTAGAGATAAAAACAGATTGCCTTGTATTACGTAGCAATCCTATAAACGTTGATGAGAGGGATACTTGAAGTTTTTCTTTTAACTCTTACATCTTAATTTTAATGATATGTTTATCTTTGAAGTTTTCTGACATTGTGTAAACAAGTTACACATGAAGCCTAGCTATAAATCTTTACAGACAAGATTAAGAATTTAATGTTTTGCTTTTTTTACTTAAAAGTCACTTCGTAGAATTTTCTCTGTTATTATGAGTATATATATATATTTTAATTAGAAAAAAAATCCACAAGTACAGGGTGTTCTTACTGTCGTTAAATCTTCATAAAATAAGTTTTACTTTATTTAAGAAGATTAGTCTATTTTCAAATAGTATTTATTCTTATTGGAAAAACTTTTCCGTTCTTCTTTTTTGTTTTATTGAGATCATATTAAAATTTTAGTGACAAATGCTTGACAAGAAAAAAATAACGTAAACTTACAAGAATAAGATGACGTATGATTGATGATGAATTTCTAACATTCAACATCACTTTTCAAACAAAAACAATTGAATCTAAACAAATAGAAAAAAAAACATTATAATCAGAGCAAATAACATTCTTTGTCTTTTCAATAGTACAATCTCATGTAATTTTTATAAGAAATAAGTAATACATTGCAATCCTTATTATCATATGCTAAGAGAAAAAAAGATCTGTCGTTTTTATATTATCATATTTACAATTAAACTACTTGGATGATCGTTCAATGAGCTAACATATATTATCATCATATTATGTAAGGTCCTGAAATATATGTCAAAAACAAGTCTTTTTTTTTATATTTCTCCTCTGTATTTGATCAAAAGAAAGCAAATATTATTTTTAGACATATTAACCTTAGAAAAGCTTCATGAAATGATAATGATTTGATTTAATAATGTAATTTTCACTAGATAATTCTCCATATACAATATAATGAGTGATTAGACTGTGTCCTAGGTTAAAACAAGAAAAATATTCATTAGAAAGTAAACCATCTTATATCTGTAGCTGTGTTATGAAGCAATAATATTATTTCTATCACAAATGAGAGACTAGAGTAAACTCAATTATTTTTATTAATACATTTGTCTTTATTTTTTTCACATATTCTTTTTCTTTCTTTCTAATTAAACATCACTATCAAACAACCATGAATAATAAATATCTTAATCTTAATTAAAAGAAAATATTATATTACTCCGAAAGAAAAATAAGTACGGCATGCAAGTCTTGATATCTATTTCTTTTCGACATACTTTGATACATATCTTTATATGTATACAGGTATCAAATGCCATTTGACGAATGCGATAAAAAGCAATAGAAATAATTCAAGTTTCATTTGAAAACAAAGAGACTAAAAATGTGAAGAATATAAGTAACAACTTGCCGCAATAAATTATGTCTGTTATTTTATGAATAGACGAAAGTGTTCTATTAGGTTTAAACTTCCGGTATTTATGAAATAGATAACGAGCAGTATGAAAAACCATGCGTAGATAAAAATTCTTGTTTTTATTCTTTTTCGTGTAAAAAATAGCGATCAGATGAGATATTCAGCTCTAAGAAATCTAGAAAAAGTAAGAAAGTGCATTTTGTGAAATATGAATTTGAGTGCTTATTCTAATAAATCTTAGAGCACATGTTTTACTATGGTAGTAGTTGCTGGGATTTTCCGTTTTTTATAAAATTTGAATGGAACTTTTCTATAGAATCCTAATTATGTGAAATAAATTCCATATCCGAGGCCAAAACAGACCGCGTCTTTGAAGCCTGTGGGCCTGTCAGCGTCTTTGAAGCTAATACAATAATGATGAGAGACTAGAAACTAGAGGTAAATACAGAGCGCCGAGTATATTTCTATACCTGGAGGTAACCGATTTGTCATAGGCACAGATCACGAATTTCTGAGCAGTGAAACTGGTAGGCTCAGCCAGGCCAACAGGTCAAAAATTGCTTGAACCTCTGATAAGTACTGGTCCGAAATTCGTGGTCTATGCCTATGACAGATCGATTACCTCCAGGTATAGAAATACACTCGGTGCTCTGTATATACCTCTAGTTTCTAATCTCTTATCATTATTGTATTAGCTTCAAAAACGTTGACAGATCCACAGGTCTCACAGACGCGGCCTGTTTTGGTCTCAGTTCCATATGGTTCCTCAGTGTATACAGAGTGTAAGTGTAGATGTAAATATAGGTATTAGAGATATGACGAGCGCAGGTGTGTTGAAATATAATAATAATTTATAAATCCTAGTAAATCCTCAATAAATGAATAAATCCTTTAGAAAAATTAATCTCGGTAGTTCCCTATAGCTTCATAGATATGGTTCGAACTATAGGATATTTCAATCTACATATTTAATATAGCATACGAATGAAGCATTATGTCTATGCAGAAGAGTTATGAGAAATTTATTAAATTTAATGGAAATACATATCTTACATCATTATTCGTATTTCTTCTATAAGATATGAGACACTTTCAACTAAAGAAAAAGATAGATTTAGATAGTTATTTGAATTATATAACAAAGAAATGATTGAACATAAATAATAGTTCTGTAAAAAAAAAGAAAGATTGAAATACTCTATTCAATACAATATGCTGATTTATACGCTGTTTACAACAATAATTACAAGAAAGTTTCTTTGTAACTGATGTGGACTCGTTCATTCTATTCTTGGCACGTTGTATAGATTATCTTATGTTATCATATTTCTTTCTATTTTATTTTTTTCTCCCATGTCATGCCAATGTGAACACAAAGAAACTTCCGTTTGCTCTATCCATTGAATTAGAATCACTATACTATCGATCATTTGTATACAAATATATTAATTCTTTTGATTTAAATTTCTCGATTGAATATTTGGACACGATTAGCTAGTAATCATAGAGAATAATTTTTAAATAATAGAAAGATTCTCCTTACATAACAAAAACTTTTGTCATCATATTATCGTACTTCTAGGTATTATGTTTCGATGTGTGGTGATGGTGCTAATGATGTTGGAGCATTAAAAGCAGCTCATGCTGGGATATCACTGTCAACAGCCGATGCTTCCGTGGCCAGTCCATTTACATCAAGAACTCCTACTATTGAATGTGTTCCTACCATTATTCGGTAAGGATACTTTGTATCTTTTAGATGCATTGTTTAGTCAGAAAACAAACCAATCTATTCAATTATCATAAAATGTTTTACTGTAGAGTGAAACGCATTAAACTTAGTAAAACACCAATTTTTTAATGTAGAATTCTTTTTAGCTCGCAGAAAAATGAGATTTTCTTAAAATTTACTTCAAGTTCTTTCTTGACAAAAATAGACTATTTAAAAATACGCTTCATATCACATAAAAACATGCTTGAAGTTTTCATAATTTGAAGATTGTTAATGAAGCATTCATCTTTTTCTTTTTCTTTTTCTTCTAGCGAAGGACGCGCCGGTAAAAATTAAATATTATTTTTAATAATTTCACATTAATAATTGAATTACTGTAGCTTTAATTACTTCGTTTGGTGTCGTTAAATATATGGTGGCCTATAGTCTAACACAATTTTTGACAGTTATTATGCTGTACACGGTAATTCATCATTTAAGAATATTAGTTAAATAGATATATTTTTGTTTCTTTTATAAATAAGATTGGAAATAATTTAAGCGACTATGAATTTTTGTTTATCGATTTGGGTCTTATTACATTACTAGTATTGCTTTGTAAATGATAATAATAATAAAGACAATAGATTGGAGTTGCTTTTGTTTTTGTTTTTGTTTTATATTAGTTAGCCAAACAAGTTCCTATCCTTATTTGGACCCAAAACCACCTCGAACAAAATTAATTTCTTGGTAAAAATTCTTCGTTCTTTTTGCTTATTTTTATTTAAAACTTGATTCTAATTCTTTTGTTCTTCTACTATATAAGGCGACCACTTACATCACTTCTTGGTCATCTAGGTATTTGTGCTGCTTTTCAAGCATTTATTTTTGAATATGTAAAACAGCAACCATGGTAAATATATATATACTATTGATTCATATTTACAAAAAAATATCTTCTTTAGGTACGAACCATTTGAATTTAACACAGAAAAAATTTACATATCACATATCAATACAGCTGTTTTTCTTCAATCAACATTTCAATATGTTTGGGAATCCATTGTATTTTCACGTGGTGAACCCTATCGACGATCAATATTTTCTAACTGTATGTTTTTATAGCATAAAATTATTTTTTAAAATTATTTTTCTATTTAAGGGCTTTTTCTTATATCCATTGTACTTACATTTGGATTTAACTGTTTTCTTCTGTTCATACCAATCAAATCAATATACACATTTTTGCAGGTTTGAATTACTCCTTTATATATATATATATATATGGAGATTTCAAATACGAATTTTAATATTGTGAGATACATTAGTCGTTAGATAAAATTCAAATGATTTAGAATAGGATAAAAGATATGAAGATAAGCAAAGGTTTTTTTCACTATTTCTAGTGTTAGAAGAATCTTATATTAAACTCAGTGAATGATTCGTTAAAGACAAGTTCCCTATTATGACAACAGAAATTCATTATAAAAGATTTAGGAATTTTTTTTCTATGAGAAAAAATGTGAAATATAAATGCTAAGATAGTTGTTAGCTCATTGTGTGATCTAAACTCCATATATATAATAGTGCATGAAAACAAAAATGTGAATATCTTAACAGATGTCAGCATTTTCAAGATGACTTTACATGATATTCCATATTTAATTAACTTAAACAAGTTAGAAAATCTATGGAAATAAAAATAAACATAATTATTCTATTCTTTTTCTTTTGTTTGTTGATCTGAAGATGTTCTTTTTGTTTCATAGCTACGTACTATCCCGGATATAAAATTTAAATTGATTATTCTTGGTCTTGCAATATTGAATTTTGTGATTATGTTTATGTTTGAAGTAAGCCTATTGATTTCTAATAAATATGTACGCTTTATCTACGCTACGTGTATTTGATTATGAATATAGGAATATGTTATTGAAAACGATAGTATTAGTTTTAAACGTTCACCATTGTCGTCAACATCAAGAAATACACAATCACAATCAGGAAGACACCACTTGCATATTGAAAATATTCTTCGACTAACACCTGATTGGCCACCTATAATTGCCACACCTTCTGAAGAAGAAAAATCTCCTGAACATGTATTGGTCGATGAAACTAAACGAAACAATCAAATAACAACCACTGAATATTTTTGAACATAGTTATTAAAATTAACTGTTCTCGATGATTTTTTTTAATATCTGCTGTTTTTGTTCATTTTCATCATGTTTTGTTATGATAAAAAGAGAATAAAAAAGGCTTTGCTTCCATTTTTTACTATGAAAAATTCACTTGTTTTGTTTTACTGCACTTAATAAAAAAAATGACAACATATTTATTTTATTTACAGAATTTTCCGCTTTTTCTTTTGTTGTATTTAAATGTATCGAAATAATAGTAATGGAAATCAAGTATTACGACGTTTTGTTCAACAAGCTGAATCCTATAATCGTTGTATGTTTCCAAATAATGAATCAATATCAATAAATAAACAATCGAAAACTATTGATAATCATATTACAGAGCAAATTCTTTTTTGTCAAAATGGAATTGATAATGTAAACATTTCATCCGAAAATTCGAAGTCAGCATTTGTAAGTGTGTTTAGTTCTGCTTGGAAATAACATTTTCAATCATTCTACAAGCAGTTTAATAGAAATAATTTTTTAAATATGTTTATAAATCACTGACAAATCTATAATTTTGAGGAAGTTTAAAAAACGGAAAACCCATCTGTAGCCGTTGATTTATATAAAAAAATTCAATAATTTGAAATTATTCAGGAAAGTTTTATTCAAATTTTATGAATATCGATTAAGTTTTTTTCTTAGCACATTATTCATAGAAATTTAATGAAAAAGAATTCATATTTCAGAAAGATTAAATCTTCTATATAATATTAGCAAATAATGCCGAACAGCGAAACACTATCTATTCTACTATCGATCTTTATATTTAGTTAACAGTTTTCAAGACCTAATCTAAACTAAAACCGAAAATCAGAGAACTAGTAAATTCATAGATTCAAATCGTTTCATATGAATCTTCGATGACTAGCCTCTTGCTTTTTCCATTAAATAAGAACTGTTTAAATCACATTTATTAAATTGTTTTTCCTAATAATTTCTGTTTAGACAAAACCATTCAATAAAAACTCTTATTCGTTAACAAATGAAACTTTAATGGTTGATATTACTTCGAATGGATATAAATATGAAACATCATCATTAAAATTAAATGTTATTCAACAATGTTGTATTATTTCAATAATTTCACCATTTGCATTTACAATTCAATTAACAAAAGATTTAATTGAATCTGATTCGTTTTTTAAAACTATGAAGTAAATTTTTATTCATTGCTCATTTTAATTTTTGTTTCCGTTCAATTTAATTTAATATTATTTAGTGATTATTACAATTCCATCGAGGATCTCTATGTATCAACTGAATATTTACGCAAAAATCTTCTTTGTGTTACGTGGGATGAAACAGTATCGACGTGGAATCGTTCTCAAATAATGGAATATGATTTAATAGATGATACTGTAAATGTCTTTTATGTTGACTTAAACTCTTGGGAAGAACATGTTCCACGTTCACGTGTACGTTTTATATTAACAAAATATTCTTCACGACCAGTTTATTTGTTAACATGTCGTCTAGCATCAATAGCTCCATTGAACAATAATAACCAATGGAATGATGTTGCATCAAAAACTTTTCAGAATGTTGTTCATAATTGTCAATGTGATGTTGAACCGTTGTATAAAGGACGTGATAATACATTTTATGTTAATTTATTTGCATCACATGATGAAGCTTATGTTTGCATTAATGATTTTTTAATACATTGCAACATGGCCAAACCGTTTGATGACATTACAAACGAAAAAACCCAAGTAAGAATTAGCTAAAAATGCAAATTATTTTATGTATTAGTTTTCATGAATAAGATTTATATGTTGGATGATAATGGTCAACCAATGCATTCAATGATTGCACTTTATTGGAAAGCTGGCGAGTATGTTTTCAATGTGTGAAAAGCAGCGTTTGTGTTTTTTAAGGTAACTTTGATTTTTATTGAAGAACTATGCGTGAAGCAGAAAGTTGTGTTAAAAAACAAGACGGTGATTATCGATCATCAGAATCTATTGAATTATTTTCAACAAAATATACATCTATAATTAAAGTCGTGATGATTAATGAGTATGATAAATTCATTTTTGCACGATATAACTCTTATATAATGTTACCATCGTTTACTATTTCGAATATACTTCATGGAATTAATGAAGAACAAATTAAAAATCTTGTAAATTCAGTTGTTCTTTCATGCATTGAAATTTCACTAAGAATTCTTCTTATTTTTTGTTTCTCAGGCAAATAAATTTGGTTTTAAACCAATAGTTATTGATTCTTTATCACATCCATTACTATGTTCACAATTAACTAATTTAATATCTTCGACTTTAACAGGAACGAGAATTAGTTTATATTCTATTGATTGTGTTAGAAAAATTTTTCAATTGTCTCACTATACACAAGCCAATGTTTACAATTTATTAGACCGAGCACGACTAGCCGAAGCCAGCGATGATGTTACTTTTTGGGATAAACCTTACGAGGTATAGAAACATTATTTATTATACTGTATTTGTGTTGTTGTTTAGAGTGCGGCAATGCAATTAATAAATGAATCTAACATGTACAATAAGACGTAAATATTAAAGGATTTTTATTTTAGAACAGAACTTACTTCTGTATAGTCGTTATGAGATTAATTTATGTACTATGTGATTGTATTGAATAGTTTTTTTAAACAGAAAAATTGAAGATATCCAACGAAGATTTTATTCATAACATGATCTACATAGACATTTTTTAACACCAAATTTCTGCTCATAGCACTCTGAAAAGAAAAAATGTATAACACAGATACATTTCCATAAAAGATAATACAGTGCCGATAGTTAATTCTAAAATTAATTTCGTTGAATGTTCGGCTAAGAGTAGAACAATATATATATATATATATATATAGGACACCTACCGTCATGTTCAGTGCTTGAATATACACGCATGAAGGAAAAGAAGGTCTTATAGTTAATACACTTCTATAGGTCAGGATAGACCTTCGTAGATTTATGTACCTACGAAACCTAGATATTTTTAGTCGACTCTCCAATATAATAAATTCTACGTATGTAAAAGTAGATAATATAGAAATTTCGAATTATATCGTATTCTATTAGTTTTATATACTTACTATTGTCAGATAAATGAAATTCATTAGTGTGATTAAGAGAAAGATTTCCTATATATTCATATTATTGGTAGTGAATAAAATATTAGCTTATTAAAATCATAGGAACTATTATTATTCATGAAATCCACATCGCCATCAAGTTAGCCGATGATAGAAGAAGGTGACGAAGAAAATTAGTGCTTAGTGTGAGCGACATGGTTGTAAAAATGTCAAAATTAATTATTTTGTCTGTGTTAAAAATGAATTTACTAAAATCATTTGAGAATAATCATCAACATGTGATTTTTATATTTCTAAAAACTTACGATTTTATTTCGTATTCCTTCAGAAAATATTTTCCTAGAATCATGTATCAAAAGGATCAGGTTTCCTATTTATTTCCGATATCAGATCGAAATTTCAAGAATTTCTCTTTAGATAAAAGAAAAGACAAATAATAACTCATTTTTTTCTGCATATCATTCTAGAACTTCTACATTCAATCAAATATGATATTGATATTAATCAACACTAGAATATATATTTAATTCTGTTATTTCATACATGTTCGAAATTTGATCTTAAGATGAAAAAGGAAAACTTAGTAGCTATGTGAAAATATTTTTGATATCTATTTCCTTTTTCACGTAATGATAGTAAATGTTAGATATCTTTTGTTACTTTTTCTCTATTCAATCTAATGAATCCTTTTGTGTTTTTCTGTTTTGTTTCTTGTATTACTTGTTCAAAACAACCTGTATATACACATATATGTGTGATGTCTTTTTTTCGTTGTAAAAACTACGTTATGAAATCATTATTTTAAATTAAAAAAATAGTGAAATTTGTGTGCTATAAAAAATAAAACTTTGTTATCGTTTTCTGCTTCTTTTTCTTTCAGATCTATGATTGAACTCTTTTACATTATAATATGCTGTCAAACAAACGTTCTTATTCAAATCCAATCTACGACATCATCGATGAATCCAATTCATCAATTAATCAACCATTAATGATTGATATTGAACCAATTAGTTCTTATACATGTACAAATACAAATCATATACCTCGTCTACTTTTAGCTGATTGTTTAACTAGTCCTCCATCAAATAATCATCATAATTATGTCAATCAAAGAATTGATGAAGAACAAAATGAAGAAAATCTTAATCCATTATATGCGAAACCAAGAAAACGATGTGTAACATTGCGCGATGAACCTATTCTTATTCCAACAAAGACAAGTCGCTTTTCAATGGTAAAAAAATTGAAGCAAAAAAGAACAACAAGATGTTACGTGATTTTATTTTTTGCTTTTTAGAAATCAATAAAACCTGAACGAGCTCAACTAGTTAGCACAACGTTACCAGCTGCCACCGTACTTTCATCGATTGAATCATCAGATGAAATCGATCAATTTATTGCACGTGAAAATGAACGTGTTGAACGAGTTAAACTACGGAGACGACATCGTAGAACAACAATGATCATTAAACAGACAGAAAAATCTCTATCAGCATTCAGCAATCCAAATTATGTAGAAATTCCAGTATTAGATAATAATCAAGAGAAAAAATTATCAAAATCTATTCTTGTTTAGTCAGATAAAGTCATCAATATATATATATATATATATATTTATTTATTTTTCTCTTTTCTATTTTGTTATTTGTACATTAAATAAAAACCACAAATAAGCAAAGCAATAGTTATTTTATTTACAAAAGTTCTATTTATTTTTATGAGTATGAATTGGTGTCGGAATCGCTCGTTTCGCTATGTGACGTTTTCCTGGTGTTATCTAAAAATTAATAAAATGAACTAGTAATTCATAGCTATAGATATAAAGAACATTACCGCCGTCGAAATTTTAAAGCCTGTAGATACACTAGCCGTCATTAAATTATTCGATGAAATATTTGCAGTCGCATCAAATATTTGATTGTTAAGACAACGTTGTTTAACAGGTGTTACAATAGTTGATGATGTTTGATCCATATTTGTACGTTTAGTTGTTTGCAAGAACTTTTGCGTTCGTAATTTCATTGTTGAATTATGCAATGGAGTTTTACCAGTTGGTAAATGTGGAATAACAGCAACACGGCGTACACTTTTAAGAGGTGTTCGTGTAGTTAAATTTGGATTAGACTAAAAAGTTAGCATTTCTTTCTTTTGTTGTTGAAAAATAAACATCAGTGTTTATTTATTTCTTACACGTTTCGATACAACACTCGTTGTTTTTTCTGATAATTGTTTTGTTTTTAAGGGTGTTCGACCGACAGAAGAATTAGTTGATGTTTTATGCACTGCTGCCTACAATCAAAAATGATTCTAGAGTTTACACTATTAAATACGTGATTGCCTATTTTACATGCATTATTTTAAAAAAATTATTTTAATACGCTAAATTATTATTATATAAACTTCTTTTTTAAATAGAGAATTTCGATTTATAAATAGAAAAATAACAGAAAATAAAAATAATGTTTAGAAAAGACATTTTTTCTTCTTTGAAACAGGTACACAAAGTGTAGTAGCACATTGATTATATTCGTTGTTGTTATTGTTTTCATCACTACCAGGTACTGACTGTAGAGGAGCAGGACGAGCGCGTACGATGATATCCGTGCGAGCTTTTTTTTTTGAAGATGGAGTCTAATACGAAATATACTTAATTCATGTGACTGATGTTCTTATCTTACTTTGACTGCTTCTCGTTCACGTTCTTTAGCTTTCGTATAATCATCTTTTCGTTGTTGAATATAATCAGGTATTTTTTTTCCATTAGCACTCATAATAAATGGTTGGCCATTATTTTTTTCCATAAAACCACTAGCAAGATGTTGAAGACGTAATTCACAATCACGTAATGTTGCTTCTAATCTTCTTCGATTTTTTTCCTCTGCTAATGCACTATAACCTCGACGATGAAAACGTTGTGGATCGCTGGCATTTTTCTAAGACAAAAAAATATTTGTCTTTTAAAAATAGATCCATTGAAATGAAAATTATACTTCAAATTCTTGAAATTCAAGAAAAAGTTCATTCCATATTTCAATTTGTTCATACATTGATTTATTAACTTCATATTGTGCTTCAAGTTCTTGTAAAAGTTCTTCGTGCATAAAATATATATCTTCGGTAAAATCATCTATGAAAAAACCTGATGTCTTCACAAAAAAGGAACTGGCTAAACTTCATATTTACTAGTATATAGAATAGCATATTTTGAATCATTAGTAACATCATGAAATGAAAGTTTATTGAGTATAGCATGAATATGTTCACGTGCTTTAAATATATCATTGGTTAATTTTTCCAAGGCATGTTCTGTATAACGATCAACTTCAGCAATCAACTAAAGAAAAAACAAATTTTTTTGCTCATTATTAGATACAACTGAATATAAAAAGAAAATATACATCGGGTAATTTTGATAATCTGCATTGTTTTATTTTTGTTGCTGATAAAGCTTTATTAGTTGGAATTAATGATTGATGTTTTCGCATAAGTGATGCTAACTGTTTATGTGATTGTTCAAAACGAGCTTCGGCTTTCTGGACTTGTTCAGTGATCTATTTTTCACAAAAAAAAACGATCTCTTTTTTTTCGATTACTAAGATATTACTTGAGAAAATTCTTTGCCAACAAGTTCAACAGCTTCTTTTGTTAGAGTAAATTGATCAATGTTAAGTGGTCCAAGTGCTAATAAACGACCAATCATTGTTTCAACTATTGGTCGCTTCCATCCATAGACTTCTTCGAATTCATGTAACGTTCGTAATATTTCTGATAAATGAGTAAGACGTTTTGACTAGAACAAATTTTTTCTTACAGGTAAATAGAATACCGAATAGAAGGATGAATAAAACTTACTTTTTCTTCACGTAGTTCAGCAATATGTTCTGATAAGAGACTCATTTGAGTAACTAATTGCTTAGACATAAAATTTTGATTATCAATTTGTAATGAATGTTCATTTAATTCATTGCATAATCGTTTTTCTTCTAGTCGAATATCAATTTCACGTTCAAGTAATTTTTCATGTTCTTCTTTTAATTTTTTATGCTCGTCAACATAGGTACGTAATGCAAGTAGAACAGGTAATGTGCTTCCATATTGCGGACAAGTTTTATCGGGATACAATTCATGATAAAGTGATTCATACCGAGTACGAATTGGTGCAAGTTCAGTTCGTTTACGTTCAAGTAGTGCACCATCTTCAGCCATCATTTCAGTGACCATTTTCTAAAATAAGAAATATTCACTTATTTCGATGAAAGACCAAAATATGCATGTTTACTTGAAGTTCATATTTCACTTCGTCAATAATTGAACCTGGATCATCGCCCGCATCAAGACACATGTGAATAATAGATTGAATATTTTGCGAGTAAACTTCATTGACAACTTCGCCAGGTGAACGAATTGATACTGGAGACATTATTTAATATGATAAAAGAAATTGAACGAAAAATAAATAAATAAATATATTATCTTGTTGACAGATTAATAAGATGTCTATTTGACTTGTTGGTTCACATCAGACAATCAATTTCACATATTTTCTAATTGGTCAATCAAACAAAGAGCTCACTTTAACAAAAAAAAAAGCATTAGCTATTTTATTTTTCTGTACTTTTCATATTGACTTCAAATAATTTTTCTTCAAAAACTCTACTTTCATAAAGATACCCAAAAGAAGATAGAAACATATGTATTTCTTTGATAGATGTCGTTTGACGACAACTCTACTCTTGTCTATTTGCTTTGATTTTCTTTTTAGAGATGTAGTCAATTTTTGATCTTATAATGCTGAACAATAAGCTGCCCATTTTGTGTAAAAAAAATTAAGTTTTTCTCATGGTTTTGTACTAAGTATTTTTTCAATTTTTATTTTAAAGATAAAGAATTCATTCAGCAATTGACATTTATTTTTATGTAGAAATAAAAATATGGTGTGATATAAAATACTGAGTATTGTTTTCAGAGACTGTTCATTTCAATAAAAGGATATAAAATGATGAAAAATATAAATCAGTGTTATTGAATTGATTACAGATTGACACATTTGAAAACAGAAGAACGATTCATTTTTAACAGATAATGTTGTAGTTATTTGTTCTCTTGAAGAAATGACTAAGGATTTCTGTATCATATAGTCCAGACTTCTAGTTGTGGAGTCTACTAAAGATAAAAATATTGGTGTGTAAATTTTTCGTATCTGTCATTTCATTCTACCTTTTCTCAATTGTAAACTATCTCGACCGATACCATGCATATTTTCTGCTTCACATATAATTATCGGTTCAATATCATCATCATTTTCCTAGAAAAAAAAAAGAAAATTTTATTTTCTTCTGATCTAACAATATACATGTGATTAATTTATTAATACCAGTTCAAAAATCAATTGTTGAGCAATACATGATTGATTGATGTTTGTTTGATGAATCTTATCATCAGCAGATCTCTCTGGTTGTGACCACCAGTGTATTCGATGTGGCAATGGATGAGCACATATTATACACATTAATCTTTGTCTTGCCAACATCTCTAGTTTGACAGTTGGTTTATCTAGTTCAAAAAGAAAATGCTCTGCTAATTTATCAATTATTTTCAATAAGAATAGATACACATAATATCAATGATATATTCTCTTTTTTCGTGTCCATCAAGCATTGAACAAGTTATTTTTTGAAAACGATTATCATTCCGTTGCAAATTATTCAATATCAATTCTGGTGTATATTGTGTACCTATGAATAGAATGTATGTTCATGAAAAGAAGAAATCCAAAATGAAAACAAAATGTATATATATATACGTGACTCACAGACAGATCCTCCTGGATGACTTTCTTCAATGATCCACATGCCTTTATCTTTACATTGTAATGTAACATTAGAACCTTCGAGTACATTTAAATAAATAGTTGATGCTAGAAAAAAAAAACGACAACATTATTTCGATAAAAAAAAGATTTATATGAACGTTTACAATTGATAACCATTAAATGAACAATATAATTAATTAAGTGATCAGTTCGACATTCGTAATGACCATCATCAAATGATTCAATTAATTTAATAATTAATTCCGAAGAATGAGCATTTTTCATGGTTAAACGTGGATTATTAGAAATTAACATTCCATTCATAGTCAATAATTCACCTGAATCAGATTTAAATAAGATTGTCTATTGAGAGAAGTAATAAAAAAAGAGGAAAAAAAGTATTTGAAAAACAAAACATCAAATGTTTATCCTTACAGCGGCATCATCGACAGATGATGATGCTGTCAAAATACATGGTGGTAATACCATCGTTGATCCAATTTGCCGTTCAAATCGGTAGCTATTGATTCTTGCTTCAATTTTAGAAAACAAAACAAGCAAATGAATAATACCAACACAATAATCATCGTATATCATCTTTCTACATAATCAAACAATGATGAAATCGTTCCTGTTCCTGTTCCTCTTTCTATTTTATAACTAAAGGAAATTGACCATTATCATCATGGGATAAGAATCAATTAGAACAAAGGGAAAATGAGATTAGATAACTGTATGAGGCACATTTATCTTTGTCAATGAAAAAAATAGACAAGCACAACTACAAAGTAACAAGGAACATAACGGTTTTTTTCCTATTCAATACATTTTTATTGATGGGCTATTGGTTTTTTGTTAACACTTTATTTATTTAACACTTGAGAGACAACGGAAACTACAATTTTTTTCTTCATATCCTAACATAGTGATGCTCAAGTTACATCATATCAAGAAATAGTGACTACTATCTATCAAGATTCATTCGGCTATTCTTTACTTTTTCTTAGTCTGGACAACCAATTGAGAAGAAAACTAGAAACGATAAAGTGTATTATTTTTATTAGATTTTTATAATCTATTTTTTTTCATGAAAAAATATCTAAATCAAATTCTTTAAATCCTACTTATTTTTCTATTGGTATAACAATATTTCATCAATTAATTATTGGCCCATGTATTCAATTTTAGTAATATGATCGATTTTTCCAATAGTAATTAAAAACAGTTTCAAAATATTCATTTAAAAATAATAACAGTAATGATCTAAATTTTCGAATAAGTAGTATAATAGAAATGCGTTTTATCGTCGTTGAGCACGTTACTCTAGATTTTAGAAAAATCACTCGTGATGTCATATAAGAACCGCTATAAATAAATTTGACATAGTATAGCATCAAGACTATATACGACGAACAATATCTGATGATTCAACATGAATCATAGTTTACTAATGTCAGAATATGTATATATTTCTCCGTCGTAGTTTTTCCTTAAGAATTAACTCAACTCAACTCAACTTGATAATTTTGGTATACAAGTGAAAAATTAATGAAAGACTGATAATCAATGAATAAATTATTTAACTGTTTTCCTAAACTTCTTCAGTGATACGTATATTTTTTGCTTATTCATTTTGCCCATTACTATTGTTGTATATTAGCGCAATTTCATGACAACGATTATATAAATCAATCATGTGTGACGCATACACATATAGAGTGCGCTTAGAATGTAAATAGAAGAGCAAAGGAAAAAAACCTCACATTCTCTGTTTTTCACAAGGCAATATCGATAACGTAACAAATAAACATGGTAGACAATTTAACTGATATGATGCATCGTGAATTGAATATGATAAATAGTGATGGTAGTGTCGTTAATAGTAATAGTAATAATTATGGTAGTAGTCGTTTTTTACACTCAAATATAATCTCACGAAATATATCGGATCATAACAGTAAGAATAATCATTATCAATATCCAAATCAGCAATCGATACAAACTCACCCAATAACGAGAACAGCTAATTATAGCAATGCATCACTGTTACGTGTGCCTACTACAGGAACTTCTTCCAATCGTCAAAATTTATTATCAGGATATGATACAGATGGAGCTATCCAAAAATCTAGACCTATCGTAAGATATTCTCATCGAAGTGATCATGGTTATGAACATTTAGTTTCACCAAGATTGCCTTCCAAACGATTTACACAACCATCATTACCACCACAACAATTTCCAGCAATATCACGTCATGATGCAGTACTTGCTGCTTCAATATCAGGACAATTTTTACGACTTATTTTTATGCGCCATAGTGAACGAGCTAATCAAGCATTAGGAGCTGATTGGTTTAGTAAAGCTTTTCGAACAAATACATATAAAGCATATGATCAAAATTTGCCAATATCCCTGCCACGAAGACGGTTTGATGAAGCCTATGAATTTGATACACCTCTAACAGGTGTAAAGATTGAGTTCTTTTTTTTTAACGTCCTTCATAAAAATATATTATCTACTCTAGTACGCGGTTTAAAAGATGCTCGTCGAACTGGACGCGCTATGTTGAATAATAATCTAACAGTTGATGTGTGTCTTTCATCAGCTGCTCTTCGCTGCATTCAAACATGTGAACGAGTTCTATCCGGTAAGTAAATGTATCCATCGAGTTTATAATTTTTTTCTATTGCGTTCTAAATTTGTTGTTTTTGTAGGCATGAATCGTCGTGAACAAATTCCAATTCGTGTTGAACCGGGTTTATTTGAATGTCCTCATCTCAATCAGAAAGTCGTTGATAGTTTTATGACAAAGACAGAATTATTGGAGAATGGATATCATATCAAAGTTGAATATAAACCATTAGTTCAAAAAATATATGCACCTGAATCATTGGATGAATATTTTCATCGATGTGCTACTGTAATGCGTGGTATTATCAATCGATATGGTAATCATGGTGGTACTGTACTTATTGTTACACATGCACCAGGTGTATTAGCTTTAACAGATGCTATTAAAGGTATACGAACAAATCAAGAAGAATTCTATCATACTGTAGCCACATATCCACCACTAGCTACTTACATAGCTGAATATGATGGAGCAAATTGGAGATATTCTGAGCAACCATTTTCTATTTCTCTTTCTGGGTAATGACATCTTATATATTGTAACTGAATTCTATCGATCTATCTACCTATCTACCTATCTATCCATATCTATATATATATATATTTATTTATTGATGTATTTACTTTTAAGAACATAATAAAGAAATACAAATTCAAGTCGCTTTCTATCCAAATTTTCAATGCATTATTTGATAAGACTACACTATTTGTTTATTTATTTTTTACTTATTTACTTATTTGGGATGTTATCCTTTCGTTTTACTAATGATCAGTAGTAGGATATTCTTATTTAAGTATCATTTTTAGTATTTGACGAGTCTCTGTTTTGAATATTAGTGCAACTTAATGTAGTAGATGACACTATTGTTGAATTATTGAATTATTTCTTTTTGTTTCCCATGAAGTTTACAATGACTATAATAAGCAAACCATGTCGATATTGCAGTAAATCCATCGAGCGTTATTGATGAAAATAAAACTTTATGGATAGGTCTATCCTAAATCAAGAGAAAAAATTATCAATAAATTTTGATTGTTTTTAATTTTTTAAAATTTCTACTCACTTTTATCATAAAAAGATCCAATGCTTGCTCAAGTTGATTTATATTAATATTTTTTCGTTTATCTGATTTAGTAAAAACAACAAATAGAGGTTTATCTATTATACTTTCATCGGTGAGTAAATCAAAAAGAGCTTGTTTTGCATCATTTAAGTAAGTTAAATCAATACTATCTACAGTAAATAGAATAAGATCAGCATTATTTAATAAATGAGGCCAAATATGGCGCTGATGTTTACAACCGCCACAATCAAATATAAGTAAATTAATATTAGTTTGCATATTCAAATGAACATTTACAGCTATAACACCATGTGTTGAAATATTTTTAAATGTTTTAGATATTTTATTAGAAGTTCTTAAACATTGAACAAGTGATGTTTTACCAGAATTTTCAAGACCAAAAACTGCTACACGTAAGATATCTTTGTCAGTTGACGCATGCGAATAGCAACCACAGCCCATGCATACTCATTGGAGATATATAATTCACAGTTGTTATTAATACTTTATTCAATCTCCTGCAAATGAAAATGTCATGATTCAAAACAAATTTGATAGTTTTTCAATAGAAAGAACAAAGCGGCGGCAAGAGATGAGTGAAAAAAAGCGCCTTCGTTTGTTTAAAAACTGTTTTATCTACTACTACTACTTCTGCTATTCTTCAAAATTAGCACGAGTATTTTTTATCTGATAAACATTTTATGGATATTTTCCACGGAATTTTTTTAGTTTATTGATTTTTATATTCATGCCAGATAAAATCAGTGCACAAAGTAATATTCAAAGGTCAGATTCATCTCGAGCATTATTGAAAAATTCTCAACATCAATTGATTACAGTGTACTCTAATACTGGCTATGATACATCTTCCAATAAGACTTCATCAGTCATCTCTGTTGATCATCAAGCAATACTATCTACTAGTCATTCTACTATAGATGATGTTGGTGAGGATCACGATCAAATAAAAATAATATTAAATTCGACCAGCGTACTAAACCATGTTACGGCAAAAGATGATTATCGTAGTATAACAAAAAATGAACATCAATATTCATTAACATATATGCTGCTTGTATATGCACAGCAAGATGCAGACATAATGACAACTTTTGAATCAACACGATCATACAATAATTTTAGTAATGTGTTGAATATACTGGAACTTTATTTCAATATTTATGCGGATGATGAACGACAAATATGTTTTGAAGGCATTTTTCAGATTCTATATGATTTTAAAGAACAGATTACTGAGTTAGCTTTAATTGAAACAATGCAACTATTAAAGGTTTCGATATAAAATACAGTTGATTTTCAACAGAAATCATTGCAGTGGTTTTTTTTCTTTGTTTTAGATCGATCCTTTTATTTCATGCAACTTTGAAGATTTTATTCTTATTCTATGTCATTTACCTCCTACTAAACAAGATTCCAATGACCTTTTTATTGCATTCAATGAACTTGACTATAACAAAGATTTTTATATCACCGCTGAAGATATTCGTCATGCATTGCCACATTTGATTTCTCGTTTCGACGAAGAAATTATTCAAGCAGCAATTCATGCAATAGATATTGATCATGATAATGATCGTCTATCATACTTTGATTTTGTCACAAGTCTTCTGCTATTGCAAGAATGCGAATTCAACATGAAAAAAACAACATTAACTGATGCACATAGACTCGTGCCTACTGAACAGAGAAAATAATCTAAGATCAGTTCACTTAATTTAAGAAGCATAGAATTGAATAAAACATAAGTTTTAAAGAAAACATAAGTCGTTCGTACCAATGGTGTCGAAAAGCAAATGGTCTATACTTAAGATGAAAGTATTTTCGAATTAAAGCATTCCAAAGTAGTAAAAGTAATATATTTTAATTGCAACAGTTATTGATGCTAAACTTTCACTAATGATATTGTTGGATGCAAATAACATCAAGCAAAATTGAATTGTCTAGATCAATGATTGCAAATCGTTTTCTCTTATTGTCAATTTAGTTTCAACATTCACTTGTTCTCTTTCTTCATTTTGCCCGTCAAGCATTATTGTTGCTAGTGGGAATAGTTCAGATTCTCCAGCTCAACACCGGAGTATACTTTATGGACTATATTTCGGTAAAATCAACTCAGTTTTAGTTGGTGATTTTGCAAATAATCGAATTCAGTCGTGACTATTTGGTGTCGCTACAAGAATTTATGTATCGGATGGATTAAGGTTTTGATTCAAATGCTTCACAACTAGATGGTGCTCAAAATATCTATGTTGACTCAATAAACAATTTAACGATCTTAGATACAGAAAATCAAATTGTGTAACAATATAATCTATCACCTGATTCAAGCATAAAGTTCTTCGAATACCAAACTCAATAGTTCCAGCGGGAGAAAATTGCTTTAGATCACATCTAAATATACTTAATCAAATTCATGTTCAAGTCAAACAATTTATTCTTCCAGCTATTTTACAATAGCTTATAAGTCTTGTTTCATCAATAATAGAAGAAGCCCACTAGATTTTATTTTATATTGTCTACAGATGTCACATAATGAACGCAACTCATTGGGTTGTTGTACTACTCAATCGGATAGCTTGACATACGAACGATTGCATTTTTCACGAAGAAAACAGTAGAAAATGTTTCCTAAAAAATCAGAAACAGATTTAAATAAAAATGTGTTTTTACATAATTTGGATGAAGCTCGTGAAGCTCGACGCCGTGAAAAACAGATGCAACAAGCGGCTATTATCATTCAGAAAACAGTACGAGGATATCTTGTTAGAAAAAAATATCGCGATTATCGAAAGTAATTATTTTATATCAGTATTCTCTTTCATATTTATTTTTTATTTCAAATGCAAGAAATGAACTCAATCAACTATTTATCGGTTTTACAGATCCAAATCCACAAAAACATCCATCTTTGCAACTTGGTAATAGATTTTTCTTGCGTATAGATATTAACATAATCGAAAAAAATCCTATTCTAGCATCAACTATGTTCACTCATTTACAACATTTTCTTCTGTATTACAATCGAATGAAAGTTAAAAGCAATTCCATAGATTTACAACAAGTATTATTGATGTGTTTCATTTCATTATGACTATTTTGTTTTGTGTGATCCTTTTTCTTTTCAGTTATTATTAGGTTTTATTAATTATAGTTCAACAAGTTTAATTACAGAAGATATTAAAGTTTGTACTCGAATTGAAATAATTTTGTTGATCTTTTCGTATTTGTTTAGTACAGTCATTTGGCTGGATTTTTTAATCGAGACCTTAATGCGCAATGGATGAAACTGAATCAAGATTTGATGATAGTCATACTCAAAGTTCTGGAAACAACCGAATTGACAACTAATGATGATATCAAAATCATTATTGGTTCTTTAAATTATCTTTATCTTATAACTGATTGTCAAAGTTGGAAAGCGCTACAAAAAAACATGAGTATATTTTAGTATAGATTATTATTAATTAGAAGTGTATCGATTTTAGTTGAAGTTTATCAGAGTAACTGTAATTTTCAGCACCGAAATGAATAGCGATGAAAACCAATTTCTTGACCAGTGTACAAAATACAAATACTTTAGTTTATAATGCTGAGTATATTCTAAAGAAAATAAGTTTAACAACGTTTTGAAAATATTTATCATTGTTGAAAACATTTAAAAGTTGTCGGCCAGTTCTATTCATGAAGCATATCAATATTTTTAGACGAACTTCTTCTGAAAACAATGCTTGCTCTTAATCGAAGTTATCTGATTCATCTTGGACAACATAATCTTCTAAAAATTCTCAAAGTAAATTTTCTGTAAACTTTAAAAACCTCTCTAATGTAAATTTATTTTTATGAAGATTGTTATGATTCGTTGTATGCACCGACGTCTTGAAACATCAATTATACACAATGTAGCTACATTAGTTTTCAAGTCAATATCGATGATCTATTTGTTTCTGTTTTACATGTTTTTTTCTTGTTTCACTTTTATTTCTTAGACTTTTGCTCAATAGTGAATTTAATCGAACGCATCTTATATTATTCTCTCAAACAATTCTTATCATACCAACATTTATAACAATGTGCCATGAAAATTCTCATCAAGTAAAACAAAACTAGAGAAAATTTTGTTTTTCTTTATTCAATAATTCTCATTTTTCTATTTAAAGTTATTTCAAATGACTTGTCAAAAAGATTTATTTAATCGTCTTATTTGTATCTATAGTATTAAAGAAACATTTGTGAACTTGAGCGAGAATATTGATATTATAGAACTTTGTTATATGCTTGGTGAATATTCAAGTTCAAGATAATTTTACTTTTCGAATCATTGTTTTATGTTTCAATAGGAAATATTGTTGCACTTGCGAGTATCGATCAAAATCAACTAGAAGCAATGAAACAACCATTTATTCATTGTCTTTTCAATATATTAGATGTTTCTCGGCAACGACAGACTACAAATAATCAAAATAGTAAACAAACAAAGACGACTAGTTTTTGGCATCCAATTATTGGTCATATTCGTGGAAAAACAACTGGAATCACTGTGTTAGTTTGATGCATTAGAATTCATTTTTTTAGAACCTTATTATTTTTTCCAGATCCAATCAAGAAATCGTTCAACGAGTCATTATGCAATACAAATTTCTTTGGTCGAAATCTTTTGTTAATATGTTATTTGAATCCATACCAACAACATCCTCAGCAAGTCAATCAGCATCAGGACCAAAGAAAGAAACGAGTAATTCAATTTTTGTATTTGCTTTTCATTGACTAACGAAGAAAATTTGTCCATAATTGGAGTACTTTAAAGTAGGGATGGACCATTTCTTTTAACGGAACTTAATTAATGACTTCCATTAACCATTGATATTAATGATTAATGTTTTCTGAGAAAAACTTAATTCATTAATATTAATGATCAATGAAAAATATTAACATTAATTTTAAAATTAATGTTTTTATTAATCATTAATATTAATGTCAATGTTCTTCAATGATATTAACGATTAACGGAAACATTCACTATCAGTATTAATAGTAGTGTTTTTGTTAATATTAGCGATTATATTTGCATTAATCATTAATGTTAATGTTTTTATGAAAACATTAATTTTCCATATTAATTAATTAATTAACACTTTCAGAGAAAACATTAGCTATTAAGACCAATTAATTGATTAATACTAGTAGATAATGTTTCCTTAGAAAACCTAATTCACTAATATGAATAATTCATGTTTTCATGAAAATATTAACAATTAATATTAATGATTAATGAAAACATTCATATTAAATTAATGTTAATGGCCCACCCCTACTTTAAAGCTAAAACAATTATTCAAAAAGAAAAGGATCGGTATGAGTCTAGAAAAGTGTTAAGATAACACAGCGCAGGAATGCTTTGAAAGTCTGAGATGTTTCCTTTTTGAATTCGATTTCATTGATTATATTTTATTTTCGTCTTTTTAAAGATATAATTCGAGCTAAGTTTGAAAAACTATTTCATTCGAAAACATCGACAGATAAATTAACAACTGATGAATTAACACAATCAATTTGTCGTATAACAACATTGTATCAAAAATTAGTACAGATATTAACTGAATTACGATTACAAATTCTCTGTGGTAAAGAATCTCTTTCAATGATTAATTCATTTTTTTTTATAACATTTTAAAAATCAATGTTTAGCTCTCTCATTACAAGATAGTTTAATCAGTAGTTTATGGCAATTTTTGAATAATATTGGTCCAACATGTGGTTTAAAAGAACTATTAAAAATTTATGAAATGAATAAAGAACATTATCATCCAATATTTGATTTACTTCAACTATTTTCTAATCTTTGTTCGTATCTTGCTACGTAAGCTTTTTTTCGCTCTCAAGCATATTTTTAAAATCATTCGATCTAATTTTTTTCTTCTTTAAATAAAGAGTTTTAGACGAAGAAGAAATGTATAAAGAACAAAAATATTTAAGTCTTGAATCATGGTCTCAATTTACTTTATTTCTCAATCAATTTGTTTATCGTTTAATACGTATTGAATATGAACGAACAACAACATCAACATCACCAAAATTAAGATTAGAAAATAATCAATTATATAAAACTCTTCATCAACTTCTGATTTTACTTCATGAAAGAAATTCAAGAAAATCATTTACACCTGATTCACATTGGCTTATTCGGTAAATTGTAATTCATTTAACCTACTTTGTTAAAAAAAAGGATGAATAAATCATGAAATAAGCGTAAAACCTATCAACGAAACAGTTGCGATTCATTTGTCGAGAAAAACTTGTGAATAGATATTATTATGAAATAAAGCTTCACTTATTTAAATCGAAATAGATTTTGATGTTTATTGATACGTGATTGAAGTGACTTTTATAATAGAGAAAGCTCGAAGTACCAAAAATTGCATTATATTTTCCTACATATTACACCCTTTTCAACGACTATCTATAGTTAACACACTTGAGTTTTCCAGAAGCGTTAAGCTCAAAAACTTATTAGATATCTATATGAATCCGATTATATATTCAATTATCAACTCAAAAATATTAGTCTGTAAGCTAGCACGTAGCTGAAGCTATGATGTTAAACGATAATAAGGTGAGTGGTAAGTTTTCGAAATGACATCTTTCTTTCTTTACATTCAATTAAAATACATTCTGTGCAATCAATCAGTAGGAAAAAAAGATTTCCCTAAATCTCGACAACGATTTTTCATTAGGTTATTCTACATCGCGTTTTATTTATGAGAAAATTATTTTGTTTTATGTTTTTGATAGCGAAGTGAAATCGTCATCATCTTTTATGTCTGATCTTGAACGAGATGATTCATGTGCTTTATATCTTCTTGAACAAATTCCCCATATTCTTACATTCAAAGATGTAAGTACATTTTTTATTTATTTCAATGCAAAGAAAAAAGAAAGAATTCATCGAAGGAGTAGAGATAAATCGAAAGTCTATGTCACTAGTCAAAATCGAACATTTATAATTACTAATATTCTCATACTGTTTTTGAGATTGTTGTTTCAATAAAATAGTATTAATTTTATTTATGTTTAGCGTGTTAAAATTCTTCAAATGTTTATTGAACATGATAAAGAGAAAGAATGTAATGAAGTTTCATCATTACGACATCATATGAAGAATTATTATGAAATTCATCGAACAAATTTATTTGGTGTACGTCCTGAATTATCTTATTTAGAAATAAACTAATTTCGATAAAATTTTGTTTTTAATATCGATTCATTTGTTTCAGGACGCTTTTCAAGCATTACAAAATGCACCATCAACAATATGGAAAAATACAATTCGTATTAGTTTTATCAATCAGCAAGGTCTTGCCGAAGCTGGTATCGATCAAAATGGAATTTTTAAAGAATTCGTACAAGAAGTAACACGACAAGCGTTTGATCCAGCATTTAATCTTTTTAAAGTGTGTGTTTTATTTTGATTATTAACTGATAGCATCTTTTTATTTTTCGTGTTATTCAGGTAACAGAAAATCGAACATTATATCCATCACCAATGTCCGATCGAACAGAAAATTATTTGTATCTTTTTAATTTTAATGGCAAAATGTTAGGAAAAGCTGTTTACGAACAGATTGTTTTGGATATTGAACTGGCACCATTCTTTTTACGTCATTTAATATCTCGAAAAAATCTTAATTATTCATGCTTCGATGATCTAATGTTTCTTGATAGAGATCTTTATAATAATCTTAATTTTGTTAAAGTAAATACAATAGTTAGGAAACAAGAAATAGTTCTGTTTCTATTTGTTTTCATCTTCTTCTTCAAAGCATTACGATGGTGATGTATCGTCATTAGCTTTAACATATTCAATTGATGAAGATGTACTTGGTGAAATGGTAACATACGATATTATTCCATGTGGAAGACATATTAATGTAACAAATGACGATAAGTATGTGAACCACTGTTTCTTCTTTCTCAGTTATTGTAATAATTTGCTGGATTTCAGAATTGTTTATATTCATCGAATGTCTGTCTATCGAACATATACACGTATAAAAAGTCAAATAAAAACGTTTACTGAAGGATTTAAAACATTAATGAAACCAGAATGGATTAATATGTTTTCTGTTCCAGAATTACAACAATTAATATCTGGTGAATCATCTGATATTGATCTTGAAGATCTCAAGTTTGTCTCTCTTGTTTTTGTTTTTAAAATTTAAAATAAATTTTTATACTTCTAGATCAAATATTGTTTATCAAGGTGGGTACCATCGAACACATCCGGTTATCAAATGGCTTTGGCAAACACTTGAGCAAGATTTTTCAAGAGAAGAACGAGCACTTTTCCTTCGAGTTAGTTTGATTTTCCTACTTTAATAAAAATAATTTATGTGCATATGATATATTTTTTGTTTTAGTTTGTAACAAGTTCAAGTCGTGCTCCACTTCTTGGATTTCGTTCATTGAATCCACCGTTTACAATTCGTTATTTAGAAAGTTCAGAACATGAAGTAAAAATTAACACTAACTAAATATATTCCATTTTAATTTTCTATTTTGAAATTTAAGGAAGAAGGTGATTCATTAGGAAGAATATTTCGTAATATGGTGACTATTAATCGAACATCATCAGAAAGACTCCCATCGAGTTCGACCTGTTTTAATTTATTAAAGTGAGTTCTATGAAGTGACATCATTCTATGACTAATTGTATTCGATGGTCATTTTTTTCTTTCCAAAGATTGCCAAATTATAAAACACGAAGAATACTAATGGATAAACTGCGATATGCCATTAAAGCAAATGCCGGTTTCGAACTTTCTTAACCATTGTTTTCTGTATATAAATGAAATAAAAACAAATAAAATCTATTTATCATTATTGTATTTATTGGATAAGTTCAAAGTAATGTAGACAAATAAAATCTTGGTTCCTCTCTCAAATAATTCAATTTGGGTCAATCAAATACAAATGAACATAAATGCCGCGTGCAAAGCAATTCAATATCTGTTCATTGAGAAACACAATATGTTGTACTTTATTAGTTGATTTTATTCGAGTAACAAGTTTCTGTTAGTTTCTGCCATTTGAATGCAATCGTAAAGCATAGAAACAAATTAATATTAGAAAAATAATCAATCATACAAGCACACTTCATTAATATCTGATTTTAATCCATCGACAAAACACACGAATATCATTAGCACTTGATAAATTATAATTGACATTATTTATTTAGACGAAGATTTTCATCGGTTGATCTTTTTCACGAATAAACTATTTTATTGAGAATAATTGAAAGGTTAACTCTATTCAAAAAATTTCATCGCATCTTTAATTCATAGCTGAACAGATCATGATCAACTAGACCTGGAATTTGACGAACATCATTATCTATTAGAATTCCTTTTACTAATGAAACCAAAATAAATAAGTTGAATCTATCCGTTATTTTCTTTAATGCGTTTTGTATTTAAAAATATGGCGACGATATTTGAAGTTATGAAAAAGATTAAATGATTGCGATAGACTTGGTAAAATAATTGCCATGGAAATTGAACCGTACCAAACACCCACAATAGCAAATATATAAGATAAAAACTGATATTCTCAGCAGTGTTCAAGAACTGAGAAATAGGAATTCCTAATCTGTTGAGAAATTTTCAGTGCCGCTGTGACAATTCCTAGAGGAAATGGAAATCAACCGTTGGCTCCCTCACAGTTCCACCAAGCACGAAAGTCGCGATATTGCCTTTTTTTAATAATTTGTGCGCGGAACTATTGATTTTCACAGTTTTACAGGTGGAAATGAGTTTAAGAAAAAAAATTATCATGGATATTCCATATTTTAACCTGTAGTATGCAAGGAACTGTAGGAAAATTGAAGAGAAATTCCTAATTCTCAGTCCTTGGACACCCCTCAAGTTCTTTTTAATGTTTACACAAAACACAAAATAATACATAAAAGAATAAGATGATTAAAAACGTAGATTAAGATTTAAATCGGGTAATTTAATATCTTTTATTTTTTGTGGTAAGTTCATTTCTTTCAATGCTGTCATTGCTTTTGTTGGTGCTGCCGTAATTCCAGCTTCTTGTTTTTCTAATTTTGATTGTTCATCTATCCTGGCAATAATTTCATTCATATTTGTTTCTAATACCATGCCGCCAAGACATAATTCTTGTAAAATATAATGAACCTTATCAACATGAAAAATTAGATCAAGTTCACAGACATTCTACATAATAATAAGAGAAAAACAAAAGAGATATTATTTAAATGGAAATTCTCAAAAGGAAAATATTTACTTCAAAGCATTTGTCAAGTGTTTCAACAAAAACTTGTATCAAATCCAGTATGCCTAATTCACTTTCTGAACTGTCAACACAAAATATAAAATATAATGTGGCATAATGACGATATATCAAACGATAATCATTTCCACCAATTAATGAGCCACTTTCAAGAAAGTTGCAAACATTCTCATCACGTTTTGATACTAACAGAAATGTTTCTCGGACAATTTGCTGTTGAATTTCTTCTGGATAATGTTCATAAAATTTAATTAAACGTGGCTTAGCTGAGTTATTAAATACAAGTATTCCTTTAATCATTCTTATCTAAGTCTATTATTTCTTTTTTTTTATTGATTTTCAAAAATAATCTAAAACATAAATATAACATTGAAGTTTGTCTGTTTTTTCTATTAGTAGGCTTTAGCCTTCGCAAACATTAAGGTAAACAAATAACACATATTCATGACACACTCTTTGAAGCGGAACGTAGAGGTTGTGTGCTTTGATATTCATTTCAAAACCTACGATACTAAGTAAATGGGTCAAAGTATGGGTAAAAAATTATCAAACAAAGAATTGCAGCTCTATAGCCAACAGACTCAGTTACAGCCATATGTTATCCAGCAACTTTATGAAGCATTTATAGATCGAACAGGCAAAAAAGGCCGGTAAGAAAATAATTAAATGTCTCATTTTCTTTCTAGAAATAAAAAATATTTCTTGTTTATTTTTTAATAGAATGACAATAAATGAGTTCAAACTAGCTTATACTCAAATAAATCCATATGCCAATATATACAACATAGATATGGATGCAGAGCGTATGTTTCTATCTTTCTAAGAGATTTTTCTTTTCTTGTTTTTTAACAATTATTTATAGGAGTGTTTTTGATGTTCGATAATGATCGTAACGGTAAGAACAATAGAAAGTAAACAAAAATTAATGAGTACATTATTATGTTCTGTTTTAATAGGTGTTCTGACATTCGACGAGTTCGTCGTCGCATTTGTTATGATGCAGAGAGGTAATAATAATAATTCTTCTTATTGATGAGATTATGTTTAAATGATTGCCTACTGACCTTTTTTTCTAGGTTTAGTCTCGTAAATGTTGCCAAAATTCTTCCTCGGCAGTTGAATCAGCATGATCCATGCTCATATTCTGATCTCATTCTGCAATGTAATAAACATGATTATTCATTTAACTCTTTAATTCGATTGTATTCAGCAATATGATTTCGTTCGCTTCTTCTGATCTCGTTCTCATATTTGGTTAAAATATTTTCTTTCTTTTTTTGCTTTCTTATACGTATATATTTCTTTTATAAACAACTATATTTCAATCAAATTCATGATTATTTTCGTTATCATCATCCTCGTCCGGAGGTGGATGTTGTTGAAGTTGATTTTCACCGATGTTAGGAAGGCCAATGTCACGAATGAAATCACGAATACTTTCTTGTAACGCTTGTAACATACCGGCATCATTTTCATTGGCATCACCTCCAATAGCACCAGCTTGAGCTCCAGGAGCCACAAGAAAGTTCTTAAAATTTAAAAACAAAAAGAATATTTAACAACGAAAAAAATAATTTATTTTCTTTTTATTACTTCTAAATGAAAATTAGGTAGTAACGAACGGAGAAGCATACCAATTCCATTGTATGAATTGTTAATTTGCATTGTAGGTCTGAAAAAAATACGACGATATTCATGAACTTTATCTAGGCGTTATTATTATTCTACGTAAAATCTTAGACGAGATACAAAGTGTAAACCGAATATATTGATTTATTTTGAGAAATTCTTTGTATCAATTGCTATTATATATATATATGTCGCAGTAGAAATTAAAATTCAGTAGAATTTAAAATTCTACTAGTAGAAATTGAAATTCTACTGAATTTTACCTATAGTAGAAACTAAAATTTCAATTTCTACTAGTAGGATTTTAAATTCTACTGAATTTTAATTTCCACTACAATATATATATATAAATATTGATAGACTACTAGCCGTCAATAACATGAATAATATTCAACTTTTTAATATTTTATCGTTAAAACTTCAAGGACTTCTGATAAAATCTAGATATAACATCAGATAAATTTTACTTCCTTCGATAGATGAAGTACTGTAAAAATTATCTTCAAGTATCAATATCTACATTTCTTAATATTTTATGTCATTAAGTTCCTTTTTGTCTTCAATATTTTTTGATTGAAATCTACGAAATCAAAGATTTCGAAGAAAAACTAATGGTATTAATTCTATATATTTGAGGTTATGTTCGTAAACATGATAAAAAGAATATCGACTGAAATTAACCTTTCTGGTCTTTGAAAGCTAGCAATTGAATCATTCGGAGGAAATGGATCAACATTATAAAATCTACCGTCATTTTCCATATCCTACAGCAAAAGAAAACAATGTAATAACATTCTATTTTACTTTAAAAATATTTACATTGGATAAAAATCCTCGTATTTCATTTGATTCTGATAGAATGATATGCCGACAAACATTAATCGGTGTTCTACGATAACATGTTTCTCGTCTAAAACAAAATAAAGTGTTTTGCTAGTCGTTTTTCTCCTTTTCTTTTCAAATAAATAAATCTTAATTTACAATTTAGTGTAATTGACAATTCTTAAATCTTGATTTCGTTCAATAATTTGAATAACTTGATTAACATTATTTCTTAAGAATTCTAATTCATCTTTCTCTTTCCATTCATTTGACATTCTTACAATATATAATTGTTGTACACATTTGAGTGCGTTTGTTTCATGTCTTTCACTATCAAAGAAATAGCGACACTTTTCTACTGCTCTATCTGGTTTTACTGATAATTTATCAAGTAAATATTTCAGTATAGATGGAAAACGTATCAATGCATTTTGTAATACTTCATTTGCTTTATCGAACGATAATAAACGAAAATATGCAAGCGCTAATGAATAGGTGAAATTCGGTAAACCATCAAGATTCAATCGTAGATTCTGTTCTGTATGAAAGTGTATTAAATAATTATATTCTTCAGAACGTATTGCATAATAATCCAGAAGAAGAAGAATTGCAAGTGGATCATCAATTGGATCGAGACTAGAAATAAATTTTCAATGATCATCTTTTGTTTGTTTTTAATTGATCAATAATTTTAATATTACCTTAAAAGTACTTTACAAAATTCTAATGCTGTTCGTGAACAACCTCGTTCACCAATAAAAATTATATTTTTAAATAAACTTATAAAAAAAGATCGATTTGCTTGTATTCGATATTCTAAACGACATTCACCACGTATTATTGAGAAAAGTGGATGAAAAGATTGTTGAAAACTGTATAAGGCACGTTCTATTTAAAATAAAAAGTAATGTTTTCTTTATATATTAAATTTAGAAAAGTTATGTTGCTATTATTATTACCGATAAGATCAACAGCTGTTGGCGTATCATCTTGCATTCGACTTACATCACTCAAATGAATAAGTGAATCAATATGATAAGGATAGTGGCGAAGAATATCCTAAAGGAAAATTTTAATTAACTTAATTTCTCTCGTTAGAAATTCAAAGCAAACCATTATTCCTTGAAGATTATGTTGATCAACAGAATCAAAAAATTGAATTTGTAATCGTTGATAGTCTTTTTCATATTCAAATTGAAAGTAGTTTCCACTAGTTAACGTTGTTTCAGATAGGGGTGATGACGGTTTCATTGATAAACCTAATTATTTAAATAAATACATCTTTTTTTAATTCTGTTAATTACAATGACTTGAGATGATGGCAAAGTTTTTCAATAATATTCTTTCGTTTAATCAATTATAGTTTCATCGAATGTTGATTTGTACATTCTCTAGCTAACATTTCGAATACTCTCCTCTATGCTTCAACTAATGTCGACATTCAACGAAAATTAATTTTATTCTGCATATGATATTTATTTAATATTGAATTGACGTTCTCATTATTGAAATATTCAAATAAGAACGTGTATTTATTGTTTTCTTTTCAATTATCACACCAAAAATATCGATTTTATCAACAATTAGTCAAAATTTTCCAATAAGTCTACAAAAAAATCTTGTCCTCGTCATATGACTAAAAAAGTAGAATTCGGATCCTTATTAAATTAAATTCTTTACGGTTATACTCATTCTTTATGAAAAAAAAACAATTTTCATCCGTATCGAAGCAATCAACATTATTTGACTATGCAAAATAAAAACAGGAGATTGTTAAATGCAAGCAGATGAACTTCAATAGTTATAAAAATAAAAAAGAATTACCCAATTTAAAAAATGATGGCCATCCTATTTTCGGAACTATGAATGCATTTTGCTTTGCTAATCGAGTTGCCGGACGTTGTTGTGACATAGGATGTGCACGACGACTAGAACCAATAACAAAAGAAAATATTATTATTATTATTATTAACATGAATCAATTAGGTAGTTACCGTTGAGCAAGCATAGCTGCTGATGACACTTGGGTTGCAAGATTATTTTCACGCTCAATCTGTTCAACAATATTACTTCCGAATTTCTTTTTCATTTCATTTATTGGATTCAATAAACGACTATCAACTGAAAGCAAATTTGAGAATAATTCTTTTGGTATAGTTGAAGTTGCGATCGGCTCTTGTTGAGATTCGTTTGATTCAATCAAAAACTCATCATCATTCTAAATATATTCCCAATAATAGAAATATTTCATTCATTGGATAATTACTTGATCACTCTTTTGAGTTTGAATATTCTTCTTTTTAACTTTACGTTTTCGTTTTGTTTTAGATATTGTAGATTGTTGTTGTACATTATCATCATCATTCGATTGATTATCATTATCAACAGCTGTTTTTTCATCATCGTTATTCTCTTCATCTGCTAGCATTTCAAATACATTTCGTCGATGGTTATTTCCTCTTGATATAATTAAATCAGTTTCATCATCATCATCATTATGTTTATTAATACCAACTTTTTGTAAAACTTGAGCAAGATCATCTTCAGTTGTATGACCTGCAGTTTTTCGTACCGCTCGCGAAGACATATTTTATCTATAAAAAAATATATTCAAGTGCGCACAAAAATTTGAATAAAATAAATTTAAAAAGTCTTAGTATCGAAGTGAAAAACATTCAGAGAATTAAATAAAAACCTTTCGGATTCATTTTTCTCTCGTCGCTTGAGATTGATCTGGTTATTTTTTAAGTGCTACTTTTGTTAACTTCATTGAGAGGCTATGCCAAAAAACAGCACAACTTATAGCGTATAGAATTGTTTCTATTTGATCAATGCCATGATAAATTAGTAGACTTGGGGGATTTTCTCGAAACTTGAACATATTGAATAGCTGTTTGTCAGATTTTGTCACAAATGAACGATATCGACCACAATTCATATTGATTATACGATAAGCAGGTATGTATGATCGGAGTACAACATTTCGAAAAACATTTTCAAGAAGAGAAAATATTTGAATAAATTTCATGATATCATTTTTCTCTAATTTCTTTCTCTCAAACTGCTACTCCCAAAAAGAAAATATATATTTTACTGGTTCGAACATATTTCTAGAGGATAATAGGCTCCTCCAAATATCAATATGAATATCGTCCATTTCTTTGCATAGACAACCAATTAGTTCAGAGTCACTTTCACATAGTTCAACTGCTTTGATATAACCTGTAGGTGTTAAGAAATCCTTGAAAACGAAATCAAATTAGTTAAATTTCATTTAAAACTTCGACAGTTGTCATACTTTTGATTCAAATGGTTGTTCATTGTTCTTAATTTTCGAGCTCGAATTTCTTGGCATCGTATTCTACAAGAATAAATAGAAGTAAGGTAATTTCAAAATAACATAATTTTATATTTTTTCTCTTCTATTATTGTACTATCATTTCTCATAATCTTCCTTCCAACTATTGAAAATTATTAATTCAACCAATAATAAAGAAGAAGATGTCACTGTGATCAATCTGTTTATTTATACACACTATGTACGTCCATCATCCCTTTATTCTGTGAAAATTTCTCTAGTGAAAAGTGAAGAAGCAAAATTAATACTCCTAGGTTAGTCTATGTAATTCTTTTTTATATTCATATCTAAAATATAGGCTGGTTTGATTATATTTCTATATGATATAAAAATCAATTTTTGATTTTTTTCCTACTAACATTTTATTTATATAACTTTGTTTATAGATTAATCTATTATTGTAAATATGAGCGACGTGGCTGGTGCGTCTAGTAGTACAAGTTCAAAAAAATTAAATTCTCCCACATCATCCAACAAAAAACGTACATCATCAGATGCTGGTCTCGATGATACAACTGACAATGATAACCAAAGCAACGGTAAACGTGTTGTTGTCTTTGAACCATTTAAACTAATTGATGTACAGTCTGCTGTAAGTAATGTTCTCTTTTCTTTCTTCAAAGACGCCAATTTTGTTTTCTGTAGGAAGAACTTGATGCAAAACTTTTACTCATTCAAAATAAAAAATTATTTGAATGCGTACAAAACTGTCGCAAGGCAGAAGTTGAATGGAAAGCAAAAATAGATCAATTAGAAACAAATAAAGCTAGTGTTGATTGTAAATGGAGTATGATCGATCTTTATTGGACTCAAGTGAATATTTTAGTCGATTTCATAGAGAGATTATAGGTTTAATTTTAGCTTGATGAAAATATTCGTCGTTTACTTGAACGATTTGATGCAACGACATCAACAGATGAAAATAGTCAATCACCATCGTTAACAAATAATGAAACGACATCTAATAGTAATGATAATAACACAATAAATTCAAATACAAATAATGATCGACAATGTGAAGAAATTCGTTCATATATTCATCAATTAAATACATGGTTACGTGAAGATCTTGATGTTCATCTTAAGCAACGCTTAGATTTTTCTACGAAAGCTATTGTTAAACTTGTACGAGTTTTTGATAAGTATGTTTTAGAGAACTATTTTTTATTATTAATTTGGTTTGACTAATATACAATTATTTTTTGTGATAGTTTATCGGATAAATTTCAACGGCTATTTACTTCGATCAATTCTTCTTCATCAATCGGTGAATCGAATTCAATTCCAGGTAAAATTTCTATTTTATGGGTTCAAATTGAAATTGCGTTTCGGTCTGAGATTAATTTTTCTATTGTCATTATTTGGATTTAACATAGATAAATGAATTTTTCTTTTATTAAGTCATGAAATAATTTTCTTTATTTAAATCCTTTTTTACATTTTGTAAAACTAAGTTCATAAGAAGAAATTGATAAAAGGAAAGATAGGTTTTAAGAATTCAAGTTAGTATGTTATTATATTTTCTTTAAATCCTTTCATAATATCATTTTATTTTTTTATCATGAATACTGCAATATTGAATAATCGAAACTCCTTAATGTTCAGTATACTGTAATGAGAAAATCTGTTGGAACTTTTCAGAGGAAACTTCTGCCGTTCAGTAGAATTAATGATGAGTCAGTAAACATAGCACCGTTTATTTTATTTGCTGAGCTATGAAACTGGTTTTACTGAATTCCTTCAGAATATTTCAATAAAAAAATCGAATACTGTTATTTCTAGTTGAATTTTAGACCATCAGGAAATCTGATGAACTTCATCATACAACGGCATTTTCGACTAGAATGAGTATTTGCTTTAGATCTGCATATTCTTTCCTGTTTGTATTACATACTATTCTACGAGCATGTTAAGAATTCTAGTCGAGTCTTTTGTTGTTTGATAAAGATCATCAGTTCTCTTTATAGATTAGAATTCAAATTGAAATAGTAAAATTTAATTTGCAATGATATATCCACGAGTAGCTTAGACATTTGAGAATAGCTGGTCTAATTCAACAGGAAATAAAATTATGCTAAATATTTTTCGCATGGTAGAGTCTATCTAATCGGGCAATTCTCGTGTTAAAAGTTCTTAATCATTTCTAGAGACTCACTTGAAACTTAAATAGCATAATTTGATTATAAAATATTCTATTTTGAAAAACAAATTGATTTAGAATGTACAAATGAAGTTTATAAAGCTCTTGTGGAACGAAATACAAATCTTGAACGTGAAAATGATCGAATACAACGATTAAATACAACTTTACAAAGTCGTATTCATGAAATAACTCTTCGAGTAAAATTTATACAATTATTTATCTATTCTACTAAACATAAATTAAATAATTTTCAATCTACTTTTAGTGTTCAGACTTGAATAACCAACTAGTTCTTCAAGAAGAACAGTTACTTGAAAAAACATCTCATTTATCGGATCTCGAATATGAGTTCGAAAAATCCCGTAGTAAAGAAACAAAATTAGAGCGTTCATTAGCAGATGCAATTACAAAGCTAGAATGTGATCGATTGAAGTCTCAAGCAAATGATATCAAACATGATCCAGACTCGAATCCAAATAGTTCAAATAATAATACAGTAGTTATTGCTGAAAATAAAGTAAACTACTTTTTTTTCATTCAAATCGAATCTAATTTAATAAATAAATATATTTACTTTTATTCTAGTATGCGGATCTGCAAGCAGAAATAGAAGAATATAAAGAATTAGCAGCCAGTCGTCTTGTTGAATTAGAAAAATTAATGAGTGATCATGAAACAACGAAAAGAGAAGTGGAAGTACTTAAAAACAAAGTAAATTCAATAAAATATACTTAGGGAGTATCACAAATAGTGAGAAAGATATGAAAATTCATTATAGAAAAAAATTAAAATCCATATCCTTCATTTTTATAATATTAGATCTTATTATGCTGTTCGTGCATGCATATTTTGTTTTCGGATATTTTGCTCGTCTCATCTATACATATAACGGTTTACAAGAAGTCCTGGAGATAAAAGCAAAATCATGAAGTTTCATGGGATTTTTTGTTTCAGGCATTCTATGATTTTAGTTTTTCAACTTAACCAAGTAAAATCTAAAAGGTGAAAACAATTAGAAATCGTTACATCATGGTTAAAGCAAGTTTATGAATTCTTTTCAGTAAGAAAAAAATTAATATAGAACACGTTGATTAAAGGGTTTCAATCAATGGAATGGACTATGGATAATCAGTCCACTTCTTTTGAAATATTTGATGAAATAAAAACTTCATGAATTTATTCATATATTCTATTTTTTATCCTCTCCGTGGCTTTTCTTTTTTTGGCGCATCGTTATATGTGCAAACTAGTAGAAACTGGAAGAGACAAGAAAATCTACAATGATCTAATATTATCATGAGGTATTATTTAAAAAACTAGCACTCATGAAAGTTTGATTATTATATTGTTAGACGAAGTGCGATAAGTTATTCGAGAAAAGTAGAACATGTTTTTTATTAATAGTCTATACAAGTGCAAAACTTTTTCGAAATATGATTGCACATAAAAAATAATGCTTTATTGATAAATTTTTAGCTACGTTCATTGCCAGAAGAACTAATAAATGAAACACCTGAATTTAAATGTCTTCAGTCACGTTACACAGCTTTAGTCAATGAAAGTGTGCATTTACGGCATCAATTAAATGAGACACGAGAACTTGTTAAATGCACAAAAACAACGTACGACCATCAGTTTGAAAAAATTGAAGTAAAATTATATTTTATCCGAAGTAATTCATTTTTTCAAATTTTTCTTCAGCAAGAAGAATTTGAAAATCAGCGTAAATTAATTGCCAATATCGAACAAGTTGTTGCTGATTTAGCTGACGCCCGCCGTGAATATGATCTTCTTCAAGTTGAATATGAAAAAGTTCTTATTGCTAATCAACAATCAGGTTTACATTAATATTGTTGACATTTTTGTATTCAAATTTTCTTCTTTGCTACTCTTTTTCAGTACCAATTACGCGTGAAATGCGAAGTTTAATAAATCATTTACAAGCTCAATGCAAATTATATAGTTTAGAAGCAAGTCGTTGTAAAAAGCAGTGTAAAGAATTAGAAGAAGAATTGACTAAACTTAAAGTTAAACAAGAAACAATTTTAAGTAATGGTCTTAATTCACAAATAAGTGTCAATGTATCAGAACCATCATCAAGTAATTCAATAAGTATAACAAATCAACAACAATCGCCAATCAGTAAAGATGAAATAACAAATCCGTTTGCAACATCAACATCATCTATTATCAAAACTGAAATAATAACAAAAGAAGAGCCAATTGAAGGAGTACGTTTGTTGGTTTTTAATTACTATTATTAAGATAATGATTTTTCTTCTATTTAGAATGATGATAGTCGTTTGGGGGAAAGTCTATTATTAGATTTTGGTGATGTAACTGAAGGTGATTTAGATGATAGTTCAGCATCAAATGCTCTTTTACGCCTTTCGTCCAATGCAATGACAATAGAAGATAAAGATGCTGAATTACGTACAATTAGAAGTGAAAATAAAAAGTTATCGGACATGGTTAAAGAATACAAAATATTATTAACTATGTATAGGTAAACTAGAAGATGATATTTTTAAAGTATGAAAAGTAATGATTAAAATTTTTGTAGAAGTGCACCTAAAGAAACACGAGATAAAGCAAATTTAATGACTTCGGAAAAGAAATTACGTCAAGAACTTGAAGAAACCCGAAATGAACTTAAAAAGGTTCAAAATTATGCCAAAACATTACGAAAAAAATGTAGTGAAGATGAAGTAAGTTAATCTTCTACAGCTAATAAAGAAAAAGAATATTTTTTTATTTAAAAAGAACAGATTACTAAGTTCGATAATTTTTTCGTAACAAAAAAACAAGTCAAACTGGTTCGGAATCGTTATTAATCTGTTTACTATTATGTCCGATAAAAGAAAAAAAAATAAAGTTTCATTTTCATCAAATTAGTCGCTTTTCTCCGTTATCTATGTAGACAAACGAATGAAACAATTTAATGAAAATTTTAATCAGCCACATAATTATATATAAAGTCAAAAGACTTCCTTGTAAATCTTCTAACGAGATAACAAAGGAAACCCATACTTATCGATTGAACTCGTACTAGACTGGTTAGGACAGCTGAATGAGACTTGAAAATGACTGACATGATTGGCGCTCATTAGCCTTTATAGACAATTGATAATTCTTTTACTGAATTTGTTAACTTACTTTTAGTTGTTCTTTTGATCGAATTGTTGTATTTTGTAAAAATAAAGAATTTATTCTTATGGACATCGTATAAAAATCAAGTATACTTTAAAATTGAGTATCTCAACTGATGATTCTTAGTTTTGATTGAAATTTACAAGATATTCTATCTATTGTTCGAGTTATATATGAGTACAATTTTACATTAAAATTTCGCTTTCTAATGTTGTCGGTATGCACCTAAGAATAAGTCAAACGGTTCAGTAAAACAATAATAAATTGGCTACAAAAGCAAAGAAAGAAAATTTGTTTTTTGCAAGATTGTTCTATATTAGTTTTATCAGTTCTGATTGAGTTATAAATCAAGTATTTTCCTTATAACGATTTTGACCATGAATAATTTGGTTGTAATTATTTTTGAGGTTCAAAGCAAAATGCGATCATGTCAAGACACGATTCGTGATCTTGAAAAAAATTTAGAGACACGTAAACAAGAAGAAGCAGCATTACTCAATGAAATTGAAGTAACAGGTCAAGCATTTGAAGATATGCAAGAACAAAATAGTCGTTTATTATCTCAATTACGTGAAAAAGATGATGCTCATATAAAACTAATGGTTGAACGTGTTAAATTACAACAATCACAAAAAGTTATGTTGGACGAAAAAACGGTTTTAGTACAACAAGCAAATGTTTTACAAGAACAACTTGATGCACAAGTCAGTAAAAACAATGTTGAAATAAGAGGATTTTTTTATATTCATACTTTGCTTTTTAAAGGTAATGATGAATCAAAAATATGAAGAAACAATTTCATTACTTCGTAATAGTGTACATATACTTGAAAAAGAATTAAGTATGATGCATCAAACATTAGATGCTCATAAACGAAAGACAATTGAAAGTGCACAAACATCAGCTGATTTAAAACTTCATCTTGATCGATATCATGCGCAATTAAAAGAAGTTCAAGAATTAGTTGCTGAAAAATCAGAAGCACTTGAAAAACAAAATTTTAAAAACCGACGGTATATTAGAAAACAAATATATACAAAGCTTCCATTATATATAATGCGTTTTTTTCTCATTGATAGAGTACAAGAAGAATTAAAAAATCTAAATCGAAAATTGGAACGAATGCGAAAATTAGAAATGGCATCAAATAAAGATGAAGTTCTATTAGAAGAGATACGTGAATATAAAGAAATTCTTCGGTGTCCAGCATGTAAAAATAAACAACGTGATGCAATACTTTCCAAATGTTTTCATGTTTTTTGTTATGATTGTCTCAAATCAAGATATGACTCACGTCAACGAAAATGTCCCAAATGTAATACAGCATTTGGTCAATCGGACATGCATAAAATTTGGTTGGTCTAATTGTATAGTTTCTCGTTCATTTTCTTTCTTTTTAATTTCTTTTCGTCGTTTTTTTTCTTTTTTTTTCGTTTCTTTGTCTTCGATCGATCACATATGTCATCAATTACTATTATTATTATTACCATTATCATCGATCAAGGTCTAACTGTTGTTCCTATTCTTCTTCCTTTTTTTTCTCTTTTCGTTGTTTAAATGTTTGCCTGTGGAAAAAAAAACATAAAATAAATACATGACGAAGGGATGAAAAAATTCATTTATCCAGTAAGAAATTCTATTAATAGATATAAGAAAATTCCTTTAAGCAATAATTAACATATTATGGATCACAAGGATATATAGTGGGAAAAGAAATGGCATGCACGGCGTCGATAGACAGAATGACATCAAAGCATACTTGAATTAATATAAGTTATAAAACGTGCGTAGGCAATATCTTTATCAGTAAATAAGATACTTTTCGGTTGAAGAAGATAGCTCAAATATGTTTTGCCTTGAGGAGATGAAGATAGAATGAAAAATTTGATAATCAGCTGCCATTGTAACTCATATATATATATATATATATATATTAGTAATTTTTCAGCTTTGTTGTTGAAAATATCACCATCAAGTAAAAAAGAGAAGCGAGCAAATAGTTTAGATAATGCTGATTATTGTAGGAAATGGTGGAATCAATCAATATTTGTATATCAGTGATGTCATATTGTTTGTTTAATTATATTTATTTGAATGTTAAATTTTGAAGAAAAATTTTTCATGAAGAAATATATTACCAAACACTAGCTCAACAGAAAACTATGCGAATAAAATCGAGAACATTATTTTGCATTCATTTCTGGGAGCATAATATACAGAATGTCTCCTAGTTTATTCGTTTGACATTAAAACGAATATACAGTTTATTTAGTACTGGCTAGAGCTTAAAGAATAAGAATAATAAAAGGAAACGTTGTCAATAAAAAAATCTTCGTAGAATGATGATAGATTGTATGATTAATAGATGGATGACTAGATACAGTTGGAAACAGTAAATGAATGAATACATTTTGATCTGCTTATAAAAAAAAACTGTTTAGTAAGCTTCAATACATATAGCAATTCCCATGCCACCACCAATACAGAGAGCAGCACATCCTCGTTTTAAGCCTGTTCGTTTAAGCGCATGAACTAGAGTAACAAGGACTCGAGCACCAGAACAGCCGAGAGGATGACCAAGAGCAATAGCTCCACCGTTTATATTGATCTAAAAAGAGGCCACAAAATAAAAAGTAGAGAAGATAAAGAAAAAACACAAAAACAAAACCTTTTCTGGATTAATATGAAGATCACGAATAACTGCTACAGATTGAGCAGCAAATGCTTCATTCACTTCAAATAAATCTACTGTATCAATCAACCAATTAGCTTTGCGTAAAGCTTCTCGAATAGCTTTGATTGGTGCTAGTCCCTATATAACAAGTGAAAATGACGTTGTATTTTCATGTCCATAGAATATATATTTACCATAACAAGTGGATCAATGCCTGTCTGTGCCCAAGAGACAATTTTTGCTAGAGGTATCTGTTGTTTTTTCTTAGCAATACGATTTGAACAAAGAATTAATGCAGCTGCTCCATCATTGATACCTATCCAATATTTAAAGAATAATTTCAATAATTGACTAACAACAATGAAAACCATGCAAAAACCAGACCTGATGCATTGCCTGCAGTAACAGTTCCAGCTAAGAAAAAGGAAAAAACAATAGATATTTGGTATCTTCTTCAAAAAAGTTACATACCATCCTTGAACACGGTCTTCAGTCTTGATATAGAATCTATTGTTATTCCTTGACGTGGATATTCATCATTTTTTATTTGAATCTCACCTGCGTAGCAAACAAGAAAAAGAAGCAATAAAGCATATATTTATTGAAAGATACTTTTATTTTTATAAAAACACGAATCAACATACCTTTTGATGTTAAAAGTGTAATCGGTTCGATTTCAGCATCAAAATGTCCCAGTGTCATGGCATTTGCACATTTCAACTGAGATTGTAAAGCAAATTCATCTTGTTCTTGACGTGCAACAGAACATGCATCGGCAACATTTTCCGCTATGTTATCAATGGTAAAGTATACGATCATGAATTATTCATTCAATTTACCTGTGATACCCATATGAATATGATTAAAAGCATCCGTAAGACTAAAACAAAACAATAACAAAGATTTCTTTTGATGGATTCAATTTTTTCTTACCCATCATGTAACATCGAATCAACAAGAGTGGTATCGCCCATTTTTTTACCACTTCTCATAGAAATACAATGTGGTGCTTGACTCATACTTTCCTGTCCGCCTGCTACTACAATATCTGCATCACCTGTTAGAATAGCTTGAGCACCTAGAATAACGGCTTTCAAGCCTGAACCACAAACCATATTAACTGTAGTTGCTGGTGTATGATAAGTTAAACCACCACCACGTGCAGCTTGCCGTGCCGGATTTTGTCCTTCATTAGCAGTCAATACTTGACCCATGAATACTTCATTCACATCATCTGCTGTAATAGTACCACTTAATTTGGCCAATGCACCTTTTATTGCTGCAGCACCAAGTTGGTGAGCTTTCAGAGCTGATAAACATCCATTAAAAGAGCCAATAGGTGTACGTACAGCAGACAGAATGACGACATCACCCACGTTGGAGTTCATATTAGAGGTCATTATTTAAAAAAAGATAAACTATCTATAAAGCAAAAAAAGAAAACTATCATAATGGACTTGTCATCGTACAATTTTCAGAACGATTGTTTGATTTTGCTACGTATCATGAAGTATATATAATCACAAGAATTGAGCGTCCTATCAATATGTGTTCTCATTGGATAATAAAAACCAAATGAAGCATAACGAATAAGTATGTAAAGTATACATTTGAAAAAAAGACCTAACGAAGAGGCTGATGACAAGAATAACAGATAGTGGTTTTGTCATTTATAGACATGTTGAATCATTCTTATCATTAAACTAGCAATTCAATTTTAGTTACTTATTATAATACGTGTTGTCTATTTTTTTTATACGAATAACTCGATACAAATCATAGACTGAAATAAAAATTATCATGTCGATTTTTTAGATGTATATTAAGATACAAATTACATATAATTGCAAAGAAACGTTGTCTTCAAGACAGTTAAAGCGCATATTATTGTGCTTCACTATGCAGTTTTAGCTTGACTTTTCATTTCTCGTTGGTCAAAACACAAAAAAAACATACACCACGAAATATCCTTCGAACATAATACTTCTATTCAAATCAATCAATGAACCGTTCTTCGCAATATATTATACGACCAACTGTGGCGCACAAATGAAAATAATGCAATTTTTGCATTTTATCTGTAGTCATTCATAGTATTATTATGCATATAAACTATAGTCAAAGATACATCTTACTCTCTCGCAATTTCACATACCTCTCGGAATCTTGAAAGTTTAGTTACGATGTTCGTAATAAGTTATATTTTGTATCATTATGAAATTATATTGATAATTAATTACCTGAAAAAGAAAATCGAAATGTATTATTATTAGTAACAGTATACCAACAACCGGATTTTATATTTATTCGAATTAGTGAAAAACTGTTCATTAAAAAAATGAGAACAAAAAATGAATAACAACAATAGCAATAATAATATTCATTGTACGTTAAAACAATGTCAAAGGAATGACTATGAGATAGAACGAAAGAAAAAATAAACCATAGCAAGCAACAATTGTTGTTCTTTTGGGTTCAATTATTTGCGTACAAATAATGTGCCATCGTCAATCTCTTCATCACCATCATTGCTACCGAAAAGTGGTTCTTCCATTGCATTTGGATCAGTGATCAATGTATATCGTTTTGGTTGACGTTTTTTACGTAAACTAAAATAAAAATGATAGTATTGATTCAAAATAACACCGACTAATTTTTATTTGGAACAAAATTTGAGCAACGGTGTTTTTATTTTTACTTACAAAAATGTTTTTATTCCAATGTACATTAAAACGAGACAAGTTATACCGCCAAGAACAATAATACCACGCATCAACGTGCCTCGATCCATTTTTGAAAACACATTATTAATTATTTCTTTGCCTTGACTCAGAGGATTCTTAACAGGCGCTACTACTCCGGTACTATTCCCATTATTTGTTGTATTAGTACTGGTTAGTGAACTCAAATTAGTACTATTTGGTAATGTTCTAATAGTTTGTGGTAAAGTTAGATGTAAAATTAAACTAACTATGAACGATAAATAGAAATCACCAGTAGACATTATTCTTGCACAATGTGTCAATGAATCTAAAAAGAGTCGGAAAAATAAATTATAAACATGCGTATTTCTTTTATTTTACAACATATAAAACGAATAGCAGATATCAGAGACAAACCAGTCATATAAATTATGATTCAGAGAGGTTCAGAAAATGCAATTAAAGGTAAAGATAAATATACATATATCTTAACAGAGACACTTTTGTTAGTGTCGATTGTAGCGCCATCCAGTGTAAGACATACACATCTGACATCCCATCCCATGACAAATACTAGAGTTAAACGAAAGAGGACACTACCGTTCATCAGTAGAAAGTTCTATTTACTATCTATTTAAGTCTTTGAGTTACATATTACTTCAGAAGCTTTTCCTCGCCGATGTTTTGCATACTATTTTCCATAAGAACGAATACAACTTGGTTCTGCCTGATCTGATCTCTATCCGAGGCAAAAAGAAAAGGGTCAAATAATTTCTATACTATTTTCGTATGCGTGTCTTGCTTTTCTATAATTTTATTTGCAATTCTTTATGAATATTAGGCAAATTTTTAATACGATACTCTATTTTATTTAAATATTATTTTGTTCTAATATAGATTTGATCAATGGTGTAATCATTCTAAGGAAATTCTCGACGTTTCTAATACATTTAGTTCGACATTACACATATTCATTGCGAGTTCATAGCTTAGATTCTTGAGACTACACATCATTAAATGTTTGATACTTCGAACTTATGTTAAAATATTTCTTTTTTATACATGTTTTTCAACTGTTTGATAAAGTATTAGATATTTTTTATGCATGTACATATTACAGGAAAAGAAACATATCGAGATGGTATACGCATTGAAAGTTTGCTAAAGTCTTCTAGTAGATTAAAAAGAATTAACTTCATGGTTTGTATGCATATTAAGTTAATATGTTTTAATACGAATGTTATTGTAAGCATGCGTCTTGACTAATATTAAATGCATACTGATAAAAGAATAAATATTTAATGCTAATAACTACAGATGCTTTACTTAGGATTAAGCGATAACAATTCGAAGATCAAGCTGATACCACCTCACGTAGACAATAAATAAACGCTTATCATTGTTCGAATGAAACAAAAAGAATAGTCTCTTGTCCATCATAAGCGTATCGAAGTGATGATCTAAATCTATTGAATTCATTTTACATCGATCTTTCAGTTTCAACCGTTTAAAGCTTAACTATTTTTCTTATTTATGCACAATTGTACGATCGCAGATATTTACGGACTATTTGAAAAAGAACAATAAGGAAATAATGCTATTTTATGTAATCCTACGAAAAAAAAAATTGCGAATTGGAAATGATGACTAAAACTAATGTTGCTAGATTCAATATAAAAATCATGTAATACTGAAGAAGTTTTGCAAAAGAAAAACCAGAAAGATTTCATACGATCTGAAACCAAATATCTAGCACTTGATAACTGTAGATGATGAACATAATTAGTGTCGCCTTCGTTAGAATAGGTAGAGAAAGTATTGACGAATTTTGTGACATTAAATAGAAAAAGAATCGATATTCATTCGTATGCCCTTCATTACATTTTAATAATGGTATATAATGACTATTTTGAATCACTGTCAAATCTATTGTTTATGATAAATGATATAAACCAACGTTGTTCACGAATATAATCTAAGAAACAGTTGATTGTTACGAAAATCTTAGTGTTCTATGTTTTTTTTATGAATGCCTCTTGAGATCTCATTTTGTGGCACATGATCGGAACTAATATAGAGTACTTGAGAGAATCTTTCGTGTGATAAATTCTCTTGCTACTGTTAATATTAGAGTCCTGATGTTTCTTTTAGTTTGTTGAATTAAATTCTATATTTTGAACAAAATTTAGCGTAGTAATACATGGAAATCAAGGATCGGTCAAGTACATTTAGGATGGCAACATTTGTGATATTCAGTTGACATAATGATTAAAAATAGATCAAAATGAATGATCTAAATTGCAAATGAAGATGAATCGAGAAATGAAAATAAAATTGAATAATTACTGTTGATTTTTATACTCGTCTAATATAGATCAAATTTAAAATGAATACAACAATTTCTACTGATTTCTTCGAAATTATAATTATCGTCGATAAGGACTTACATTGCAATTTTTTCCAAAACGTGAATCAAAAATAAAAACCAAGTAGAACTCGTTTAATTTTCAGTAAATGATCATTTCAATTTTATCAAACACTAGTCATACAATTTTACTTTTTCCCCCTACACAAAACCAATTCTATTCATTAAATATAATCTGAATCTGTTTTTTTTTCAAACAAAATCTTTCGAAGATCTCAAATGAAACATTTTCAATAAATTCGAGAAATATAAATCAATTTTTTGGCCTAATATTTGAACAGATGTACTAGTGATTTTTGTGAATTTCTTGGTTGACTATTACCTGATTGAATCTTACGTCGCAATACAAAATTGGGCTATTTGATTTGTTAGATTGATGGACTTGGATGAAAATTTTCCACCGACTTATTCAACACAGTGATGAACTACACAAAATCATTCGACTTACCACAATTCATTTTGATTAGTGAGTTTCTCGGTAATCATAAACATCAATGCATTCAAAGAATCTACCTGTCGATGAAAGACATTTCTATAAATACAATATTAGATATATTGTTAATTTCGTATTATAAGTGTAAAAGAAATCTTATAGAATAGGATTCTCTTTATACGCATATTAAACACACATATTGATAGTCAATAAAAACATTTTATACAAAAAAGTATTGCGTATGCTTCTCGTTGATATTAGTTCAGTACCGTTGGCAAAGAAATATGTAAAAAAGAAACTAGCAGTTAGTAACATATTTGTCATTCATATTAAATAGAATAACAAAAAAGAGACGAAAACAAATAAATTTCTATTAACTCATACACAAGCGAGCACGAGAAGCGATAAACTTTTGAGTACAGAGACCATATGATTCTGCATGGCAGAATCAGTCGTTTAGAAAAAGAAATAATCAAAATTACAGCTGTTTTTTCTCAGCAATGTTCATTCTGCACCTGCTGGCGGATCACCTAGAGAAGAAGAAACTAGTTTGCAAAAAATTTAAGAATCTTTTTATTTTCAACTACCAATTATACTAGGACCACGTCGAATATTTTTCTTGATTTCTGGTCGAGCTAACTGAAGACGCTTTAAAAATTCGTTGGTTTTATAACGCATATGTGCATGCAGGTATGCCTTAAAAAGACTATTTGTATAGCATAATATTTTATAAGTCATCGATCTACGCATACTTTACAACATTTTATATGATAATGAAGATAATTACGAAGAGTATGAATAAGATTAATTGTATTGTCACGTGCAATTTCTTTTGTATGACTTGGAAACAGAACTAACAAAAGATTTTATGCATATTAAAAAAAGTCATTCAAAATTTCGAAATAAAAACGACTAACCAAAAGTTAAATAACCAATGTTATCATCTATGCGAGCTTCATACATATCTTTTAATTCTTCTGGTGGCGTACGATAACTCACAATAACTTGTGGTGCTTGTTGAAATTGTCTTCGTCGTTCTTTAAATTCCTAAACATAGAAAATGCATATTGTAAAACTGAACGATTAATAATAGTAAGTTTTAGAAAATTTCGTACTTCCATAAAAACCCGACCAATTATGTTATCATCTACGTCTTTAAATATAGTTGGAAAAATAACAATAACACGATCAGATGATGCATCAATATACATCGTTTCATCATCACGATAGTGTATAACAGCTCGTTTATGATTGCCATTTGTTGATTCTTGTTTCGTTTGATATTCAAAATGTTTCTCAAAAACAATCACAAAACGGTTTCTTTTAAGCATCGCAATTTTACGAACAAGCGGTAGCCATGCATCATTACTATCACCTTTAGGTAATTGTGTATTGAAATCCAATGATAACGTTACATTATAACCTTCTAATGGTCTTACAAGAAGATCACCATATTCTCAACGAAGAACCTAAATAAATAATATATTAAACAACTAGTATTATTATGAAAAAGAATATTATTATAGAACTAACTTTATCTGTATTATGTTGTTCTAGATCAAAAAGAAACTTCAATTTGATACTTACAGTAAATGGTTTGTCGCGTGAACTCGTTATATGATAAAGTGCACCATCAAAATCTAAAGTTATTTACAATCTTCTCTTACTGTCATATTTACTATTACTTACCGATAACATCAGTTTTAAGTTCAACTAATTTTTCTTTACGTAAAAAAGCTTCGATTTGAAGTGTTAATAATTCTTCAATGATTCGATTGTGTACTTCAAGTAGAATCATTCTGAAAAATAGAAACTATTTGACTAAAATGGAATATCTATAATGTGAACATGCTGATCCAATCTTATTTTTCTTAGAATATTTCTAATGAAGTTGCAGTTAGAAGATTCAATAATTCTTTAGTCAAAAATGTAAAATTGTTACGGAGAAAATATCTCGATTCATCAGTTATCTCTTGACTGATACTATGAGGTGTAAGTATATAATAAGTCAGAGAAGCTTGTGTAAATAATTCAAGTCTGCAAGTTGATAATAAGTTTTCTCGGTAGTAATTTTTGTATGTAGTGCATGGTAGTGAGCAATGCCGGAAGTTAACAATGAACCTGCAGATTGTTAAGGGGGAAGATGTTCATGCTCAAAAAAGTATAAACTTACGTTTCATTTATGTTGATGAAAAATAGAAAAGTTAGCATGTCAAGAGATACTAATATTCGAGTTTCACTCGATTGTAAAATGCATCACGCAATGCCTATGTTGATTGGTTAACTAATTGCTTAGCCGGCTGAATATGAAACACTTTTCTGTAAAAGATAATCACTCGTTTTCCTAATTAAGTTGTCATTCATGATGAAGAATATTTCGTAATATCGTGACTATTTATTAATCAAACATCATCGGAAAGACTCCCATCGAGTTCGACCTGTTTTAATTTATTACAGTGAGCTCTATGAAGTGATTGTGACGGATTCCATCCATCACGACTCCTTCAAGAGCGCATGTACTCATTAATCACTGTTATCATCTAATCATTAGTTTATATTTGCTTCTCGCTTCTCTTCTTCTTCTTCACTGTTTATATTATTCGTATCAGCATTTGTTACTCGCAAAAGCACTCATTCTAAATAAAAGAAGGAACGAACAAGTCGTTCCATCACAGTGATATTATTCTATGACTAATTGTATTCGATGGTCATTTTTTTCTTTCCAAAGATTGCCAAATTATAAAACACGAAGAATACTAATGGATAAACTGCGATATGCCATTAAAGCAAATGCCGGTTTCGAACTTTCTTAACCATTGTTTTCTGTATATAAATGAAATAAAAACAAATAAAATCTATTTATCATTATTGTATTTATTGGATAAGTTCAAAGTAATGTAGACAAATAAAATCTTGGTTCCTCTCTCAAATAATTCAATTTGGGTCAATCAAATACAAATGAACATAAATGCCGCGTGCAAAGCAATTCAATATCTGTTCATTGAGAAACACAATATGTTGTACTTTATTAGTTGATTTTATTCGAGTAACAAGTTTCTGTTAGTTTCTGCCATTTGAATGCAATCGTAAAGCATAGAAACAAATTAATATTAGAAAAATAATCAATCATACAAGCACACTTCATTAATATCTGATTTTAATCCATCGACAAAACACACGAATATCATTAGCACTTGATAAATTATAATTGACATTATTTATTTAGACGAAGATTTTCATCGGTTGATCTTTTTCACGAATAAACTATTTTATTGAGAATAATTGAAAGGTTAACTCTATTCAAAAAATTTCATCGCATCTTTAATTCATAGCTGAACAGATCATGATCAACTAGACCTGGAATTTGACGAACATCATTATCTATTAGAATTCCTTTTACTAATGAAACCAAAATAAATAAGTTGAATCTATCCGTTATTTTCTTTAATGCGTTTTGTATTTAAAAATATGGCGACGATATTTGAAGTTATGAAAAATATTAAATGATTGCGATAGGCTTGGTAAAATAATTGCCATGGAAATTGAACCGTACCAAACACCCACAATAGCAAATATATAAGATAAAAACTGATATTCTGTAATATCAGAATAGCCAATCGTTGTTATAACTGTAAATCCCTAATAGAAAAGAAGAATCTGATCTTGAGTGCAACCTGATCAATGATACAATATTTACATGCCATAGTGCTTCACCAATATTTTTAATTTCATTATCTTTATGTATTTGCTCAAGAACAAATTGTGTCAAACCAAAATAAAACATTCCAAATATGATCAATATTGTTAACATTACAATGTCTTTTAAATTGACATATAAAATTTTAAAAAATACCTCTAAACATTTTGCATGACGAGTTAAACGAAATAGACGAAATAATTTAAAACATGTTAAATAATCAAATATTTGAGTTTCTTCTACTGCTAATAGGTTTTCATCTTTTTTCTCTGAAATATAAACTCGATAGTAGATTTGACCTAGTATTGTTGGTAGTATACATAAGATATCTAATGCAAAATTAGAATCACGAAGTAGATATATAAATGAAGGTGCTGATAAAGTATGCATGAATAATTCAATATAAAACCTAAAAAGAGAGAGATCAATTTTTATGAAAATTCTATTTTATTTTCTATTTCGATTGTTTATTTTTCTCAGCTAACCATGTAATACAAAAACATTCCAATGTTACATTTTCTGAATTGAAGTAAGGTATGAATTGATAAGGACGTAGACTAATATCTGAACATTTAAAACCTTCCGTGTGATTAAGAGGTTTTGATGGATGGGTTATCATCCACATGGTATTATGAAGATTTCGATAAACACTCATTGTTTCTAAACATAATGAATAGATTGCCAAAGCATTGAATACTGCAGATAATGTACTAAACGAAGAATTAAAATAATTCACAGGTAAACGATGAAATGTTCGATGTAATGCTTTTCTCAGCCAAGAATTTGGTTCGATTTGATTATCTTCATTTATTGATAAATAATCGTTATAAAATGTTTGAATTAACTTTTCATTTAATTGAAAAAATCGAATTTCTTCATAAAATATCATGGCTGAAGTTGTTTCAGCTTTAATTAAAATACCATCATTTATGTAATAATACAAAATAGATTCAAATGAACTTGAATGACGCGGAAAAAAATAATCACTCGTACCAGGTATGAGATAACGTGCTCGCTTTAATGGATTGCCAAGAATTGTGTCAGGAAAATTGATTAAATCACAAACATTAATTTCATAATGTGTTCCAGATATATTTATTGTTAAACGATCATCATCACTTTCGAAAAATGTAGTCATTGATAAAAGACGATCGAGAGCATCCTTTGCCCAACTATTCATTGTTTTCTATTAATTATCTCAATTAAGAATTACGCGCTACTTTATTTGTTTATCAATTCAAATTTATTTCGTACCATAGTTCCAATCTGAAAATAGAAAACGAACTGATGAATGCAATACATATAAGTAAAGGGAATAGACGATTGATACACTTGTTATACTAAGACTAAAAACTTCGATAGAATGACGTAATTAAGGTTTAATAATTTGATAAATTGTTCTGATATTTATTTTTTCTTGAGCATGATGATAGTAATTATGGGTGTGGGTGGGTGCGGGTGAGGGTGTGAGTGTGGGATGTTGATTCAAAGAACAGCCATATCAACACCCTCAAGAGAAAAAATCCTAACAGGATTCTATTTAACCATAAAGAATCTAGCGAACAGGAATTGCTAGAAATCGAGCTAGACTTCTGAATAAAAATTGACAAGATACTTGAAATTCAGAATTCTGGCAGATCTTTCAGGGTTTCTCTAGAAATGAACAGGCTTGATAGTAGAGCCGGTGTAGTACCAATTAATATAGTTACAATAGTTCCTATCAGATCTGGCGATGATATACAACAAACATTGAAGCCTGTCGTATGGCTTGCTTGAGTCATTTCATCTCTGCAACTCCCTATCCTCTCATATCTACTTGAAATAAAGTTATCATGGTTGTAATTTTGTTCTTGTTTCAGAATCTAACTAGATTGTTACTTTACTTAAGAGCTATATCTTCAATATATGACTTATTAGGTTTCTACTTGTCAAGATCATTGGTTTTGTCTCTGGTTCTATGATAGAAATATGTGTTATTTTTTGGAAATAATCGTTATGAGTATATGTCGTCAGGATCCTTTGAGCATAATTCAATACTAGTAAAATGTCATCGTAATGTATGTTCACTGGCTCATTTGTCAACTTATAAATTTGGAAACTAAAAATATTATGAAAGAGCTACAGAATTTTATTAACAAAATAATTTGAGCTAGTAGTTGAGAACAAAGCTGGACAGATTGCGTGAGTCTTAAAAATCTATCAAGCATTTTGCTTTTCGTTGTGACTAAGACCTCTCAATTAAAGCATTCCTTTTAATGGTCCTCTTATTCAGACACAAACAGGAAAAAAATTCTCATGTTCATTCAACTCGACGTTGAATACCAATACCAATCAGAAAAACGAAAAGAATATGGTAAAACTGTCAAAATTTATTTCAGTATCAAAGCTTCCGTGAAAGCATCTTTGACGAGTATCAGTATCATATTTTATCACTATATTATAGCCGATATCTGCATCGAAGAATTGAAAAAGTATTCGTTTAAGATCTATGCTCAAGTAATCAAACATTCACATAATCTATCCATGTTATTCATTCTATTGTTTGTACAATACTTCAAGACAAATCGTGTTTCTTTACTAATCATTTTGTGAAGAACTTTGTTTACGAGCAATGTCGCTTCTTGTCATTAGTTTCAAAACAAATGTTATTTTTAATCATGTTTTTTAGATCAATCCCAGGTCGTGGCAGTACGGCGGGAAACGACCGGAATTAATAGAAGCACGTTTGATGAAAAAATTGAATTGTATATGGATCTAATCAATTTAGATTATAAACAAACTTATCGGAGATGAATAAAAAATCTACCCTCCTTTATTGATATCCAACATATATCATACATGTAACTATTTCAACAAGGATTAAAACATCAATAATTTTTATTTTCGAGTATGTCAGGCTTATTATGTCCGTAGACGCTTATAAAGAATGAGACAACAAACAAGAGGATAGGAATATAATCATGATGACAGAAAGGGAAACATAGCACGCAAAACAAAATAGCGCGAAGACTAACTAAGAGGTGATGGTCATTTAGAAGGGAAATCATAGATAAATAATAAGGAGAAAAAAAGGATAATAGGGAGAACAAAGAAAAATATAAATAAGAATAAGAACATGACGAGAAGGGCAAAAAAAGAATAGCAGATGATCATTTATTTGTTTTATTTGAGTGGTTCTCTATGAACTGAATGCATTGGCTTAGTATAGTGCCTCATATCTATTCGTCATTTTTGCACTCTAATCAATCTGAGGAAATTTTCTACGCTCAAGCTTTGTTGAGACTTCTCCATTTGTTTATTTTTACCTTGCTTCTGAAAAACTCCCACTTAAACAAATCACTATAGGAAAGAGATTCTCCTAAGTCAGGTTTGATTATATTATTCTAACGTCAGTTGTTGTAATAATCATCATGTGAACTAGTAAATCATAACGACGAAGAAGTTGTATACTTTGTATATGATCTATCTTTGAGCCGAGGTTAATAAACATCTGATATAAAAAAAAGTAATTAGGTAGTACCATAAATGCCCATGATATTACAACTGAAGTAATATATAAGCGGTTTATCGAGAATATTTCTGCTTATTGTATAGAATTGACTGTGAGTTAAAGGTAATCTTCTCTTCTGGCAAATCAAACGTAACATTTGTTTTGAACCAGTTAGTATTCAAATGATCAAGTTTAAACCAAGATATATCACAATCCGTACCATCGATGAAAAAAATTTAAGACTTCAAACCAGGTGAAGCAGGCACAATCGTATACATATAGTTCAGAATTATTGAGTGGGAAGGATATTTTGACAATATTGCTTAAAATTATAAATAATAATAATAATAATATAGTTTTAGTGAAGTAAATACATCATTCACCATAAGTAGCAACCACCGACGTACATATTTCGTCGAACACAATACCACTTGCCTTTTTATGGCCTACTTGAGATATCTTTGCTCGATGAGTTACATATTCATTCGGATCCTAAGAGTATGGTAAAAAATTATACTCTCGCTATTTGTAGCATGTAAAGTACATAGAAATTAAGTATCAGCGTCAGTTTCTTAATAAAATCTAAGAGTTTTTTTTGTCGAACACATTCCCTATAAGTTTATGCTTTTTAAATTGTTTTTGCTTCTATAATAGATTAATATAGCGTCACAGAAAGAATTTATCTTTCAGTTGTATACGCATAGAACACTGTCAAAAGATATTTCCTACATAAATAAAAGTCATCTTGATTGCTTTCGTAAATGTTATATTCAATTATAAATTCATTAAATATCATATGGCAAAAACGTCTTTCATTGGCCGTGTCAAGTGTTTCTCATAAAGATAAAGAGAAGACAATTATGTTCTACACGAAAACGTAATACAATAGTGTATTGACCAGTAACATTGTTTACTTTTATTGGCTAATTGCATAGCTTTCATTGCAACGGTATACCATGACCAAATTAAGATTTCTAGAAACTGATTGGTTCTATCGAATGTTTCTTTTAACCCGAATGTTATTTTCTAGTGAAATTCTACTCTATTCATTTGTTATCAGTTCACTTGAATCTAGGTCAAAACGTAATACAATCAAAAAATAAGAAATATTAAAGACTCCCGAGACATGATTGATTATTCATCAGCCGATCATACAGTATAAGAGTATTTCTATAATACGAAAAGTATTTTTATTTGGCTTATTTTTCAATTCCATTAATTGTATTTATATTTGTGTTAGTTTGAAGAAGCTTCCTTCAATACTATTCTATTGGATAGAAACGGAAACGGAAACTTATGATTCATGTTGGTAATTATTGTACTAAGACTTTCATGTCATTTTCAAAACTGATTCCAACCAAGTCCTTTGTGCAAACCAAATAAACATGTTATTTGAAACATAAATGATTTCATAACTCTATAGATATAAAACTGTTTCTAGAATTTCTACTATATCAATTTTTCAAGATTTCTTATCTTATTTTGTCTTCTCTTAAAAGTAATTTAATTACGAAAATGATTTCAAACAAATACTCATTAGAAAGTATACCAAAGCTAGTTCATAGTTATGTTGCTGTTATTTAATATTTTTGCAAACAAAGAAATCGTTGATTAGCCATTTTATTTTTGACTTGCTTATATATTTATTGATTTATCGATGACGAACATTGAAGACAGAGAAAAAAAGGAACAGTCTCGCCTAATCCTCTCAAAATATCCAATAATCAAATATGTGCCAGATCATCATGTCCATCGGAATCCGATCCTGATACCACTTGTCGTCGATCATTGCGAGCACCTTTGCCAGACTCTTTTTTAGTTCCTAATAAATTTCCAGCATTCAAATTTCCAGTTTTTTTTGGCATACGATTAGGATTATAATAGTCATGACCATCTTCATCTTCATCATTTGATTCTTCTTCCGAGAGACTTTCATTATTTGCTGTACGACCATTTGTATTTCGTGGTAATCCATCTACATCATCATCTGATTCTGCTTCGTTATAACGTTCATCAAAAACAACTTCTTCTAATCCTTCATTAGTACTTGTTGCTGTTTCAGTTATATTGATGTTGTCGGGAATTTCATGCATACGTTTTAATTCTCGAGCTTCATCAGCTAAGAAAAAGAAATGCCGTCTACATTGAAATATATGTTTCGTTTATCAAAGTAATAACTCACCAAGATATCTCATAATAACATCAGCTTTGTCGTCTTGATAATCTCGTAATCCCACAAGAATAACATCTCCTTGATTGATCCATTGTTTTTTACGTAGTTTACCACGAATGTGACATAAACGTTTTTTTCCACCTGCACTATCGAAACAGAATGCTTCTAAATGGCCATTTCCCAAAATACGTGTAACTTGCGCATAAGATTGGCCATCTTCTTTAAGTATTAGTTCTCGTTTCACATCATCATTTTCATTTTTACCACGACGCCGATTTTTACCACCTTTTCCTTTATTTTTTGGCATTATGCTTGTTCGAAGATTTGCACTTAATGTGAAATATTGAATTAAAAACGAAACTTTGTTGGTTCTATAAGAATCACGAGAGTGAACTTAGAATCTACAAATAGAAGGAAATCAATGACGTAAAAATTTCTTTTTAAATAATGAGGCATGTACGAATAAAAGAAACAACAATCAACAAAGTATCTGAGACGCCGCTTTTCATAGCCAATA